AGTCTGGAATTAGAATCTTGAATACTATCCGCCACATACCTGTTATCAAAAGACAGCATAACCTCAACATCACTCTCACCACACCCCGGGAAATTTCTCATCTCTCACAAAAACACCAAAAAACAAAAATCCTCTCATATTCATACAACTAGAAAAGGCGAAGTGAAAACCAAGACACTTAACAAAAAGCCACCCAAGGCCCACAAAAAGCCTGGAATCATGACCTGAAACGAACATTTTTGAAATTTTTCCTTTTCCACTGAAGGAGAAGAGGGGCGAAGGGAGTTATAGTCGGCACTGGGATATCTTTTTCAATTTGATCAAAACCTCTGTGTATACCTATACCCTTGCATTGCAATGGCCCGGGAGGATTCCTATCATTCTCATCTCATTTTTACATGGAGTCTGTTTCATGGTTGATTCTGCAACTGGGTGGACTGGAATATTGGAATACTGAAATACTGGATGGAATATTTGCGTTCGGTTTGTGTCTATTCTGGTTTTTGTTTCTTCTATGCTCTTATATATATTCCCCGCCCGTTTTATACATACTTTTGTTGGATGGAACTGTGAGGCGAATGGAGGGGCGTTGTATATAGATTCTTCTTTTCTCTTGCATGGTAGCCTTCACAAAATATGTGGCTTTTATGCCTCTATAGCCATTTTGATATTTCCAAGCTTTCTCAGTATTGCATGCTATTTTGATATATAAACGCACCCAGTAAGTAACTTCCCACTAGCAGACAAAAGAAAGCACAAATGTTCAAATACACGAAACTGAAACGATCTAAATCTAATATGAAAATGCCTGGCCCAACCCAGAAAGCCAAAAAAAACCACCCAACCAATTCTTCTCTATTCAGTAACACTATCCTTAATACTCCGCAACGCACTCATCTTATGCGCGGGATCAATAGCAGCAGCATTCTGCGCCCGACGACGGGCATCAGCCCAAAGCATAAACTCACCGTATCCCTTCGGCATAACCTGAACATCCTTCTCAACAAGGAAAGTATAGTTAAACATGCCAGTGGACTTCTTCGTACCGTGCTCGACATCCCGGACCTTGGAGTCAACACGCACCTGCACCTTGGTGTACTTGGTGCTATCACCCTCGCGCTCCTCGGGCTCCGTGTACGAAACCGTCGCGCGCAGGTACAGCACGCTGCCTACGGGGACTGGGTTCTCGAAGGTGCTGGGATCGAGGGCGACGAAGTTTGGTCGCGCGTGTGCAAAGGATGCGGCGCAGCAGAAGGCGAGCTCGAAGGTCTGTTTTAACAGGAAGCCACCGAAGATCATGAAATTGTGGCGGTTGCGGTCTTGCGGTTGCATGATCATGGCGGATTTGAGGACTGTGTCGCTCATGAAAACTTGGTTCGCCGGCCGGGTAGCTGCGTTTTGGGGATCTTGGGCAGGTTAGTATTCTTGCATTTAGGTGATGTAATGGGCAAAAGGCTTTCTGTTGCTTACTCAGGTAGGACATCTCTTTCGTCCACATTGAGTGGATTAGGTTGCTCTCTTCGTCATCTGGTGATTTCTCCAAGAGACTGCGTGTGCGAAGGGCCTTCTTGGCCTGATAATTCGCTTCGCCCTTTTGGAAGAGGCGCTTTTCCTCCTCGGTTTCAATGATGAGAGGAGCCACGGGGACGGGCCTAGTTTTGATGTTAGTTTGTGTGTATCGATAGATAAAGAGGAGGAACATACGTCTTGGTAGTCGGATTCAGTGAGACCATTGTGAAAGCACAAGTGATCAGGACATCTTCAGGCTTAGCCTCCTGTCCTTCCGGGAGAGCCTTAGTAACTTGAAGAGAGATTTCCATACTTGATCGACCTGTCGCGTAGGTAACTTGGCCGCTAAGCTCAAGATCACAAATTTCCATCAGCGGGTTCTCAATGGTGATCCGGTCACACGCCGCAGTGACAGTGGATACACCGTCACCTGTGTGACGGTAGGCAACGATGCCAGCTAGGGCATCAAGGTCCATCAGAAGTGAGCCCAATCTAATCGGATTGATCAGTCAAATGCTCCTTTGACACGTAGGCTATCAAAGACGTACCTAATATGCCCGGAGGCGTTGAGATAAGAATCCAAAAGCCATTTGTCTTGGGCTAAAGGCAAAATCTACCAACCAGTCAATATCGACATACGATTTCCCACCAAATACAAAAGAATCACACGTACAGCACTGTAATAGCTATCCGACATCTTCTTTGGTGAGACATCACGCTTAACGCTCTGCGCAGCTTTCTCCTGCGGCTCAGCCTTCTGTGCCTCGCGAATCTGCGTTAATGCGTCAATCCATGGCGTCTTGACACGCATGGGCATCCACGTAGGCCGGGACGCTGCCTGAGACGGCGTGGAGTGAAAGTCCTGAGTATTGATACAGGATGGCTGAGCTGCGACTGCGGCTCGCGCGGGCAGCGCAGCCAAAGATTTTGAGCGAGCAAGCGCTGATCTTCTACTGAGGCCAAACATTGTGTGATGTCAAATGAAGGAAAACCAAAAATGAGATAGAAGTGTAGATATTCCGATAGATTGTACACCGTGCTCAACAAAATGACGATGTCCCGAGAATCCCATGTATACAGAGGGTTATAGTGACCAAATGAGATTTAACTACTTCGTGGCTTGGCAGAAAGTGACCGCCCTAGTCACTGGACTTTCACAGTCAATTTACTGGCAATTTACTTGGTTCATTTGATTTACTTGAATTGGTGTTGGTTCTAAGGACTAATTATTCCGTGAAAGACACTAAATACTACATATAATATTGCGTTGAAGTGAGAACTCCGAAGTCTATGAGAAGTCTCTCATGGCCGCTGCAGGCTCCCGTAAACTACCCGGTCCGGTTGAACCCCCGGGGATTCTCGGCCCGAATACGAAAAGCGATGTCATTGCTTCCGATTGGGGCCCTGGGGGTTTTATATTGCTCTGTACCTAGGTAGATACTGTGCGCAGCTGAAGGTGACCTCCAAAGCAAGGCGTAAGCGTACAAATGCTGAGACTGGAGAATTACAATTCGGCGACTGACGCTGATGTTATTAAAGCTGCGGGTTAAAACGAACCCCAGGTTGCCATACATATCTCGGTCTTGAAGCTTTGGAAGGTTGCTCTGTGTCATATTTTACGAGACCTTCCAAGATCCCAAGGCTGAAATCGAATACGCTCAACTGCAAACAACATGCTAAAATGAGAAGGGAAGATCTTCACCCATGATTTGTAGGTATCTTGGAGTTCACTTAAGCTTAACCAAGCTCCCAGGTGAAGTTCTCCGATGGCCAAACAACGTCAAAATGAAGTCATCGATAAGATATTGATCTATAACGCACTTCAAAGGCAATTAGCTTTTTTTATTTTGTATCTATTCGAATTGTTATGTTGATTTGATGAACCTGGAATCAAAAAACCAACCATCTGTAATATGAGCGACCCAACAAACCCACATATCAAAGAGCGCACCACGCCTCAATGGGGTCTTTACCAGCGAGAGAACTTCTGGAAACAGAATGAAGGAACAACACCAGTCTTCAATACTGGCAGGTCTTCAGTATGATCCCTCCAGACCTACACAAACCCTAACCTCTATAGACCCCCGAAAAATGGAAGAAAGAGCCAAAGAAAAGCTGAGCGAGGGCGCCTGGTACATAGTACCTCCCACTACAAAACACCAGCGGCATCCTAACCAAAAGAAAACCCAACAGGTTCTACGCCTCCTCAAACGCAGGAATGTCAAACACACCTGGCAAACCGACAAGCCTTCTACCGCCACCGACTAATCCCAAACCAACTAATCGACACCAACAACCGCTCAACAAGAACAACAATCTTCAACCACTCCGTATCCGCCCCAATCGGCTTCGCCCCAGTGGGAATAAACAAAATCTACCACCCGTCCGGCGAAGTCGCCGTCTCAAAAGTCGCCAACGAGCTGAACCTCCCCTACTGCCTCTCCACAGCGGGCAGCACATCGATTGAAAAAGTCGCATCCGCAAACGGACCAACAGGCACACGATTTTTCCAACTTTACATGCCACATGACGACGAGCTAACAGTCTCACTCCTAACACGGGCCTGGGAAAACGGCTTCGATGCACTGATTCTCACGACAGATACGTGGCAGCTTGGATGGCGACATGACGACGTTGCGTCGTCGAATTATGCATTCTATCGCGGATTCGGGGCTGATATGGGACTTTCAGATCCTGTTTTTCGGAGGAGGTGTGTTGCGGACGGGATTGATCTTGATGTTGATGTTGCTGGTGCGTCGACGAAGTGGATTGATTCTGTTTGGCATGGGCGGGCTTGGTCGTGGGAGAAGATTCCTTGGTTGATGGAGACTTGGAGGAGGATTAGTGGGGGTCGGCCGTTTGTTATTAAGGGGATTCAGTCTGTGGCTGATGCGAGGAGGTGTGTTGAGCTTGGGGTTGAGGGGATTGTTGTGAGTAATCATGCTGGCAGGCAGGTTGATGGGGCTGTTGCTAGTCTTGATGCGCTTGAGAGGATTGCGGAGGCTGTTGGGGAGAGGATTTATGTTATGTTTGATTCTGGGATTAGGGGCGCGAGTGATGTTGTTAAGGCGTTGGCGCTGGGGGCGAGGTTTGTGTTCATTGGAAGGCTTTGGATTTGGGGGTTGAGTATTCAGGGTGAGGATGGGGTTCGACATGTTATGAAGTCGTTGCTGGCGGATTTGGATATTTTGCTGGGTGTTGCTGGGTTCAACGGGGTTGAGGATTTCGATCGGGACATTCTTGGTCTGTCTTGCCTCTGCTTTCAAGGTGAGGATGGATGCTGATTTTTGAGATGCAGAGTCGGATCCGAAGAACTACACGCTCATACCGCAGAAGACCTTGTGAATGGAAGACAGTTCTGGGTGGATGCTGCTCTTAATTTCATCTGCACATCCTCTACCTCGTATACAGGGACAGCTTGTTAATCTACGACTACTACACGTCTTCGACTGTAAATGTATTCGGTGAATACCTAGGTGACTAGCTGTATAATGAACGAGGATGTGATTAACACCCCCCATGTACTCCGTGGGACTGTTCAAGTGACTATAGAACCCCAAAAGCTCAGTCATTTGTCAAAGAACTCACACGAGAAAGCCCGGTTTGATTTCGGCGCGGACCTGCTCCCGGGCATGGACCTCAACAACGATGTTGATTCTCATGTGGGTAGGCCAGGCACCATGTGCTACGGGACCCTCCGCCTACGCTGTCTCATGGGGGGCTACGGTGAGATGGTGGTCGAGAGGGCTGGGGAGAAGAAGAAGAGAAGAAGAAAAGAAGAGGAAGAAAGACGAGAGGAGTCCTTTTATACCCCCAACAACACGTACCTTCCTAAAGTAGGCATCTGACTTGCACCTTCCCTGTCAACATCACATGTCACCTTCCCAATTCATACGGGCAGTTCACGTAAGGTGTGCATCCATGGATTGATTAGACATAATTACAATTGGAAACTGTTTCTTATGAGATTTTGGCATCTTGCCAATAATATTGTAGACTTTTGTCTATCTAAATGAAAATAATAGCAAGTCATGTCCAGTTCAAATAAAGGGTACATGTCGGATGTGCAACACGAAACGAGTGATATATGCAGCTGGAAAAAAGCCGAATAGACGTGCCGCCAACGTATGCTAGGATGAGTGGGTAATCATATGTGGACCCGGGTGTATTAACAGAAGTGAATGATGTGTGTGTAAAATGATCGACAATATGTATGGAAAAGACGTGGGTGACAAGTGAGTGTACAGTAATACAAAGAGCAGAAATATGATTGTCGCCAAATCAAAAAATATGCCGAGAAGTGAAAGAAGGGCTAAAATGCAGTTCAAATAGCAAATGCGCCAATCATGACCGTGAGCATAGACCAGCTAATGCCGCGGGCGAGGTGGGATGCGGAGCTGCCGGATATTGTGGCCATTGCGGAGGAGGTCGATGATGATGTGGCGTCAGCAGTAGACGCAGCGGTGCCAGTGACTGGCGGTGCAGTGAATGTCCCATTGCCCTCGGACTGGGAAGAGGACGAGGATGAGGTTGAAGATGAGTTTGAGTGTGAGTTCGACTTCGAGGCTGAGGCCGAGGCCGAGGCAAGAGCGCCAAAACCGATCTGTCCATTGTCGAAATCGAAGACGGTGTAGACATTTTTCAGAAAGACATCGCCGACGAGCCAGTTAGCACCGTTGGATGCATAGCCGACAATGGTCGAAATGCAGTAGTCCGAACCGTCCGACTCGGTATTTCCGACATAATCCTTAGGGGACACGTTATATTTGACACCAGAGAACTCGAACTCTATGGTAGCAGTCGAGTTACATGGGATCAAATAGTTGTTCGGGTTGTCAGGTTGTTGAGATGCATGAGGGACAAGAGAAAACAGGGCTTTGGCATCCGCGGGAGGGATCAGGAGATAGGTAGTGCCGGTGTCGATGGTAGCGGATTTTCCGGAAAAGTTGCAACTTTTGCCATTCACATAAGCATCATCTACGGGGATGCTCCAGATTTTGTCATTGGTAGCAGTGTAGGAGATGGTACCATCGAATTTGGTTGTATCGACATCACCAAAGTTGATTTCCCCATCCTTGCCGCCGTCTGCTGAGCGAGAGAGACTGAACCCAACCAAGTTTGACTTGATAAGCTTTTTCTCAGCAACGAGATCCATGAAGGATGGCAAATTCCACCCTTCTGTATGCGACCGACCCAGGCCAAGGATCCCGTCGAATGGGTAACTCTGAAAAGCTTCTGAGGCATTGTTGGCTTGACCGAAAGTTTGCGAGACTTCAAGCCCTGCAATTGAGAGGGTGTCTGTTCCCATCTTTCCATCGACCTTTCCGCTGCCGTAAAAGAGGCTGAAAGTCGAATTGTCGGTGGTATAGCTGGTTGATGCTGACCGGTCGAATTTGTGATGACGTGTGCAGACAGGCTCAGTGCATTCCGAGTCGAAGACCCAGGTATTGGGTGCTCCAGTGTCGATTCCCATCCACATTTCTTGCTTTTCAGAGCCTACGTAGATGGGAGAGAAGTATGAATAATCCGTTCCATCCTGGTTTAATGGTGCACTGTTTGCCAGTGACGGCTTATGGGACTCGACAATTTTATAGCCATCGTCGCGGCGAACGGGCAATTTTTTCAGGTCAAGAGTCCAAGGTTTGTCCGCTGTGTTGGATGTGTCGGTGCTGTCGGTGCTCTCGCCGGATTTCGCTTCAATCAAGGTCCATGGAACAAAGCGACGTTCGACTGTGGTTTCCGTGGAGAGTTTCATCCGCAGTTCCCATGGATAGAAGGCGTGCACGCCCGAGATGCCGGCAATGAATACCAGACATGATGAGAGATACATGATCCCTGGGGGAGTTTAGGTAGAAAATGTAGAAGTCTGCATTTGATAAACCGAAGCCGGATTCAACTGGAGGTCTATTCAATATAACCGCTGTCCGCTGTATGGTGGGGCTGAAGAATTCGGGGATTCGAGAGGTTGAAGGACTGAATTAAGCGATAGACTGAAGACAAAGAAAAACCACAAAAAAAGAGAGGAAATTAAATAATGAATCAAAGGTCAGGAGGTTGGAGAGACTCGAAATGTGCCCATGAAAGACGTGAGGGGGGTGGGCGGACAGGGTCCACCGTTGAAAAACCCCCTGACAAGAAGTTGGCAGGAACACCAGTTGGCTCTAAACCGTATGAGGTTTAGCTTCCACTGTCCTCCACTGTCCTCCACTTGTCTAATGCTCTTTGTAGTATTGATCAGCTTGTTAAATGAAGCTAGTGGAGTCCAAGCTCAATCTATATGAAGGAACTTGAACGGGTTATCATACAATATTGATCTTGAATTCTTAATTCTTTGACTATTTTTATACCTACTATTGACTATGGTTGCATCGGAAAATCCGGGGTTGCGAACGTATTAATGGCCTAAAAAGTAATCCTAGAGACTACACATGGAGCTAAGTAGCGTAGCTAAACAGCTAAACATCGAAGTTTTCCATGGGAACATCTCAAGACGAAAATAGAACCCGACAGAGAGAAATCAGTCAAACCTCCAAGTCCACACCTAGGTAGAATGCGACCGTACTTTGTACAGATGCCATTGGGCGTACATAAGGTCTAGACTCGCAGGATTTACGCCTCCACTTGGGTCGAGAACGTCTGACCCTGGCAGCCCTGACAGGGACCACTTTTTTTGTACTTGGATACTTGTGTCTACATACAAGTCACCGTTCGCTAAACTATTTAAATTAATTCTAACTTGAATGAGCAGAACGCATTTGATGGGTTTCGAGCTGATCCAATTGATTAAAAAGTATATATAACAGTGGGATACCTAAAACGGATCTATCATGCAGATCATGACCCGACTGTGGGGACAGATTATAAAATCGAACACATTCAGGAGTTTCCATCCATGGATACCTACATCACAGCTGTGCGGATGACGCGTGACGCGAATAGGAGCCCTGTCATTTCCAACCTCAACAGTTGCTATATCATGAACCAAAGCCAGTTGTCAGAAAGGTATAGTACCAATGAATAAACAAGTCGAAGCGCAGATGTCATACAAACCTTGCAAGCCTAATAATATCCAGCAGTTGTCTCCCAGCTACCGCATTAGACGCATACAATATTAAATACCAAGGCCCACTACAATAGTCGCACTGTGCGCCAGGTATATCAGTACGTCGATATATGTATCAATTTGGGACGTTGGTGACGATATCTCAATCTGGTACAAGAATCATGTCTTCTTACTATTGCCCCATCGCAATTCATATGTTGAAATGAGTGCATATTTACTGTATACTGTCGGGCGGCTAAATGGGCGTATTAAAAGGGGAACTGTTCGTGACTAGCCATATGGTAATAATATATAGGCCCGAAGAACCCCAAAGCCCGTAACGGATAGCGACCCAAGGAAGTAGCACAATATATGCCCAGGGCTGTCCTGACGTACAGCATACATCGATGTAGACACGCCGACAAAGGCAGAGAAGCAGAGAACCGGTAGATCGCGATATAAATTAAGCCACAACCCCGTGCAGCCCAATAACCAGAAAGCACCAGCCACATATAACCTTAACACTAAAAGGCAAACAATAGCCAAAAACAAAAAAAAAAGATTGAATGACGCACACATGCAGACTCCCAAAATCCCCTCAAAGCGATTGATAAATTAATCAGATAATCACCCCAGCTCTCCCCGAAATACCCCGAGCGGGACTCCGACCTTCCCCACGACGCCCGAGCCCCGTCCGTCCCATCCATGCTACTGGTAACTGGAAATTGCGAACCCTCGGAACCACAGAGACATTACCGGCGCACGGCTAGAGACACGGAAGAAAAGAGAAGGAAAGTAGATTGATTCGACTCTCCATGTGCTGGATTCGGTAGACTAGCGCCGGTTCTTAACGTGAATATTCCGACGTCATAGTTCCCGAGCTGGACAGGACCAGCGCTGTCGGGATCGGAGGATATGCAGCGAATATCACTTCTAGGGTAGCACGTTTAGAGTTATTTGGACACTATCTCGGTATGGCACGCACATGCGTCCGATGGACCATGGGTCGGCGATGATCTTGGGGGATAGATAATGATCCGTCTCACTCGTCTGGAGCTGGAGGTGGTCTGGTGACCTCGGGTCAACGGTGCAGTTTGCTTAATATTAACGGCGGAGGAGTTGTTCCCGGGAGCCTGGATATACGTTGTCGTAGATCATGGTGGGTATCGGATCGACAACCTCGGCACAACGAAAAGTGCGGTTTTTCGGGGTTTTTTTTTATGAATGAGGGTACTACTAGTATTGAGTCATCTGTAGCAATTGATTGGTGGTAATTTAGTAGTTTGAAAAGGTGTGTATGGAACTGTTCACTGCGTTTTGAATTGCTCTCGATTTGTACCTTCTCACTGACTGTATCCGAATAGAGTATCATAGACATAATTGAACCCGACAGAACAGACTTTCTAAAAGACGTTAATAGAAGAAAGAGGCCGTAGCCTTTTGTTGAAGATGGTATAGATAGTAATGTTCAATTGATTGTCACAACTCGACAGAGCTGTAGTGGAATAAGATGGAAAAGAAAAAGAAGGCCAATGATCGGCTGGCAGACACCACGGAGGAAAACGTCCACTCCATGGGAAAGATATTACATCAAAACGCTATCTCAAAACAGATGGACGATCCCAAACAAGAAAAAGACAAGATAAAGCTTGGACAATGTAACAAGCAACAAAAGAATTCGTTTCATCACAGACCCGTCAACGGGACCGAAAATAACAAGAATAGACCAGAGAGACAGGAGTCAAAATACTCTACTTCTGAACACTCTGCTTGGGACCCATAACATCATCAAGGAAGCCAGCCCAAAGCTCACGTATGACACCAGGCTCGGAAGAAGACCCATTTGACCTGCGCTGGATCTCCTCACCGACACGTGAGCGGCCGACGGCCTCGGTAAGCGAGAACGGGTCCAGATCGATGGCGTGGTTATCGACGACCTCGCTCATCGCGCTGGCGGAGACGTCAGCGCCGGTGCCGGACACAGTGTAGATCTGGGGCTTCATGGGTGGGGCGAAGGGTATTTGGCGTCCTGGGATGGAGGGGAGCTCGGGAAGGACCGGGACTTGGATGCCGCGCTGCAGAGGGGCGGCGTCGAGGTCGACCATGTTGGGCATGTAGACGAAGTCGACGGTTGAGGTGTCGTTCAGGGCTTTTGTGGCGCGGGAGGTGTTGAATTGGCGGGAGGAAGAGGAGCTGGAGTGTGTTAGTTTTGGGTTTTGTTTTTTTTTTATGGTTTGGAATGGAGACATGGGTAGATGTATAGAATGGAATGCGTGGGTGGGACATACTCTGAGAATGCACTGCCATTGATTCGGCGCATGGCGATGGCGAAGGCGCGGGATTGGAGGACGTCATGGTTGGAGAGGGCCTTCTCGCCGGTGTTGGCGGGTTGGGCGGACTGAACTCCGGTGATGTGAAGGCTGCGGCGAGCAGAGGGTGCCACGGGCTGTTGGGAGAGAGTGCGGAGAGCACGGAGAGATGATGAACGGGGAGCAGTCATTGTGATTGTGAAGTGTATAGAGCTAGAGCTTTCGAGATAGAGCTATGTTGGTAGGCTTGGTAGAGGTAGAGGCAGAGGTCTCCAAGTATAGTGGAAGATGGGAAAGTGAGAAGTAAGGGATTATGGGAATATGGGAACAGGACGATAGTGAGCTTTATAGAGCTGAGAATGGTTGGGGAGAGCTATGAGGCAACTTCTTGGCGGTCTGGGCCGTTATCGATAGTGTTGACCCAAAGTAGAGCACGTCAACACTGTGGAAAAGGGTAGCAGTGGGTGATTTTGTTCACGGATTTCAAATGTTAAAAGAGATTTCTAAAGAGATGGGCAAGAGGGGAAACAAGTATTCCCTTTATATATACCCTTCTACTACTAAGTACCCATGTGCTGAATTCAACAATTCTCCCAGACACAGATCTACGGCGTAAGTAGCAGGTACCCAGCCGTCGGGACTACAGGCTACCCCGTACCCACCAGAACACGGAGTGACAAGATGTACCCGGTACATCACTTACCCCCGAAAATGATGTATTCTCGACTTCTGTACTCCGTACTCCGTATCTCACCCCTCCCCTCTCTTCTCTCCCGAATATCCTGAAACTGGTGATCATTACGTCTTCTTTGGATGATTATCCAATAAAATAATCACCAGCATAGACATCGGCCATTATTGGGTGTCTTCCTGCAGAATGGGGCAATCTGTCGAATAGTACTCCGTACACCGTAATCATAACCCGGGCATAGTTACTCTGTCCAACGTAGGCCCCCCTCATTGAATTCTCCTAGGGGAAAGTGAGAAAAACGGGGGAGAGGTATCCGGTCGGAGATAGCTGCACAACGGTTCCGTTATGCATATCGACCTCTAATCCCTTGATCATGAGTGGCTGCCACAATTCGCTCCCACACCCTTCTCTCTCTCAACTGGTGAAGTCGGTCTGCACCAAACCTTGGAGGTACGTAAGCCACAAAAAGAATGCAATTCCAATTTTGGGGATGCTGGGGTTGATCGCTGATCCTCAACTGTTGAGGAATCCCATGACCTGGTAGTGGACCTCAAATTGGTTCTAAGAATAATATGAGTCCAAGACATCAGAAGCAAATTAGTGTTAGACTAGTCCTTTAATAAGTGGAGCGGTGAGAGTCGGAGTTGGGTCCGCCTTCCGACTGATCTACAAAGTACACATTTTACCTATTCTCTGTGCTACACGGTATACACGGTCATTCGGTACGGAGCACAGATATCCCTGATCATCTATGGTGCTACGTGTCCGTTTTGAGATTGAGATTCATGCTTTTCTCAACCCCGCAATCGCTTATTGTACCCGGAACGACCGGATCGAAGGATCGTGTCGAGATCAGCAGACCTTATAGGTGCCTGTGCTTATTGCTTTTGTGCCCAGGGGCTCGGGAGTATGTATTCGATAGCTGTAAGGGCCCGCCTTGGGGAAGTGTCGATAAATCTTGGCAGGAATCCGGTTGAATTATGTATTCCCCTTTTGCCCCTAGATCAGAGGGTCGGGAATTTGGGTTTTTTTGTTGAGTTCTATACTTGATAGGTAAGCAAATATATTGGCCGCTGATTACTACTTTATCTGGGTACTGGTATAGCAGACTGTATATCCTGTATGGTATGCTCTCGAAATCTCTCAGTAATGGATGGCTCACATCCCCGCACTGTGCGATTGGTTAACCGACATTGCAATCCCAGTGCAAACATCTCATATAATCTTGTATGTTCAAAGTTTCGATGACGGTCGCTTTCCTTTAGCTATGGCCCGAGCATACGGGTGAGAGCGGGACGCTGGAACCAGGTGGTCGACATCCCCAGTGTGCACGAGATCAGGGGACGCCTCCGCCAGGGATGTGATGCCAATATTCCGCATGGATGTTTCTAGTTCATCTTGCATGACTGCGAGAAACCTGAATCAGCAAACTATAAAAGCAGAATGTCGAGCCATCACTTACTGTCGATTAGATGCTCTACTCCCTCCTGGCCATAATTGGTAGCAAAAAGCATGCTCCGGCCCATTCCCACGGCTGTTGCGCCCAGACAAACAGCCTTGAGGATGTCAGTTCCACGCCGAATACCGCTGTCCACATAGACCTCCATATGATCGAAGACCTCCGGACAGCGTCTGTGGATTTCCAGGAGCGTGATAATCGACGGTGGACTGGTATCCAAGTTGCGACCGCCGTGATTGCTGAGCAAGATACCATCAAGCCCCGCTTTCATGGCGAGCAGCGCATCATCCGCTGACATCACGCCTTTCAAACACACCGGCTTCTGCGTGTGCTGTTTCACCCATTTCAAATCCTCCCATGTCAGCCCAGGATCAATGAACCCAGCCATCACGCGGCCGAGACCGCCGCCTTTCTTGTCGTTCTGCACCTTCGACGGCGCCATGGGCACTGATAAGTTCTCGTCTGCCTTGACGCGCTCGTCGGCTTCGCGCTTACCGGGCCACGCGGCGTCCACGGTAACAAAAATGGCTTTGATGTTCGGATTCTCCGAACACTGGCGCAGCAGAGCGGCGGACTTTGCTCGGTCACGGTTGACGTACAATTGGAAGAAGAAGTCGGCTGAGGGCGCTGCCGTACGTAGTTCCTCCATAGTGTAGGACGAGTTGTTTGAAATCTACCCAGATCGTAAGCATAGTGACTGGCAATGGCAACACACCAGATGAGCTCACTCCTTGCATGATTCCTTTGCTTGCGCAGGCTCTGGCAATGGCACACTCTCCATCCGGGTGGATGAGCTTTGCCATTGCTGCCGGGCTTACGAACAGTGGGAGCTTGTAACTCCCGCCGAGGATATTTGTACTGGCATCTGCCGAACGGACGTTTCTTAGGACTCGCGGGCGGAACCATATGCGGTCAAAGCATGACTTATTGGCGTCCCGTGTGATTAGATCTGTAGCTGCGCTGGAGTAGAAGGCCCAAGTCTTCTTGCTGGCGGTTTTCGAAGCCACAACCTCGAAGTCGTGCGAGTTGATCACTGTGTCTAACGGGGGTTTCTCGTTTTCCAGTATCACCTTGGGACTCTGTCCCGGTGGTGGTTTGGCCCACTCGGCGTCAATTGTAGACTCATCGAGGATGCCCTTGAACTTCTCCGGGTGGAGATTGTTCTTCATTACGCTGGGTGCGTGAACTTCTGAATAGTCTTTCGTTGCATCTCTTCCTGCATGCTTCAAGATAACTATTCGCGAGGTAAATTAGATATTGTCCCTCAGATGATGCATTTGTCGGTGTACCGGTGGACGTACTTGCAGATCCTCCAGGATGCTCTTCCAAAAAGTCGGTCACGTCCCACACTTGTTTGTCAACCACAACCCAGCAGTCTTCCGGCGTTTTGTGCTCTGATATCTGTTGAGCAGACAGAAGTCTTTGGTCTGCCATTGCTGCCGGACGGTATAAGCGTGCGGGTTCTTGGATTTGCGGGGAAGAAATTGATGCAATATTAAACGACGCTGCTCCTGTATGTTGAGCTATGAAAGAGAATTAATGAGATGGAGACAAAATCCAACCAGCCATCCACAGCAAGCTAAATACTCAGCAATGATCCGGGGCGGGGATGGCCTTCGGCAATGTCGCCGGACTTACCCCGGACTGCACGGACTAAAGTCCCCCAAGCTTCCTGTTTGAGAATCCAGCTTCCTATATAAAGCTGTGTGTTGTATTGACGAATCTAGGCTTGGATGTCTTCAGGATCACCCTACGTTCCAGATAGCTACTTATTTAGTCCTGCGCAATCAGCTCCACACATATCGGTCGTACAAAAAGTGTATTTCAAAAACAGCACAAGAAGTTGGCTTTCAATCCGGGCTTACACAGAATCAGTCCTGTTTGAATACCTTCAAAGAGCGTCTTAGATCGGCACAACACCGACTAGACGACGGATTTCTCTCCGAGCGGGTCCCTGGTCCCTGAGAACAGACGCCTGAATTGTCAGGCATCATTTACCACCAGCCACAGGGAAAGTCTCAGCCCTAGTGTGGCTGAATATTTTCCGACCGTGAGTCAACACACATTTTGCTTGACAGAGGAAGCATTTCATCAACACAATAACAAGGATCTCTACTCTATTGATCTGATGCAAATAAACTCTGCGGTGGGCTGTGCTTTGAAACTTTTCCGCCGCAATATCTTCTCGAGTGTGAGGTCGACAGGCATAGATAGACCCGTCTCGTTAGGTCTGTCTCGTGTCCAAATATAGGCATTTCAACTAGTCCAGCCATCCATGGATGCAAAGGCTGGGTGATTTTGGAAAAGCTTGAGCTGACTCATTTCGTAGGTTTTCATACGAGTGACAGCCTAGCTGGTCTGTCTTCTGTAAATTCCATATCTGCTGGAAATCCCAGACCAGTCTCCACTGGAAGACCACAGGCCACATTAAATATGGCTGAATCTAAACCTCTCCGATATGTTGATGTGTGTGTCCCCTTTTCTTACCCTCGAAAGGCTATGCAACTCATAGCTAACTGCGATGTACTAGATTGGTATCAACTTGAGTGATCCTGTTTTCCGCGGTGAATATCACGGAAAGCAGGCCCATGAAGACGATCTAGACGATGTTATCCAACGTGCTCGCGATGTAGGCTGCTCAAAGTTCATGGTAACCGGTTCAGACCTTGTAGAATCGAAGCACGCTGTCCATGTCGCCAGCAAATACCGTAAGTTTTGAACTTGCAAGGACTTTTCCTTTTCTTATTAACAGCGGAATTCTGCAGCGGGCTTTTGTTATGCGACAGTTGGTGTGCATCCATGCCAAGCAAAGCTCTTCGACGAATATTCAGGCGGTCCGTCAAAAATGCTGGAGGAGCTTCGCGCTCTAGCAACCGAATCCACACAAGCCGGGCACGCCGTTGCATTCGGCGAAATCGGCCTTGATTATGACCGACTGTTCCTGAGCCCCAAAGAGCCACAGCTGAAATGGTTTGAGGCGCAACTAGACCTGGCTGTTGAGATCCAGCTCCCTTTATTCCTCCACTCCAGAGCTGCAAGCGAGGACTTTGAGAGACTCCTTGCCCCAAGGCTTGCCAAGCTTCCCAAGCGGGGACTCGTGCACAGCTTCACGGGGACAATGGATGAAATGAACCGAATGATCGCGCTGGGTCTTGACATCGGTGTTAACGGGTGCAGTATGAAGACTGAGGAGAACCTGGATGTTGTCAAAGCTATTCCACTGGACCGGCTCCAAATCGAAACTGATGGCCCATGGGTATGTGCTTTGTTCTGAGCTCTGGTCGGATAAGTCGTGACTAACTCTCTCCTAGTGTGAAATCCGCCCCTCCCATGCATCTGCAAAGCACCTAGGCGGTGCACCGGATCTGCCGAAGGCTGTGAAGAAGGAGAAATGGCAGAAGGGGTGTATGGTGAAGGGCCGGAATGAGCCTGTCGCCATCGCTCGTGTTGCTCATGTTATTGCTAGCGTCAAGGGTATCACGGTAGAGGAAGTTTGCGAAGCGTAAGATGTCGATTCGTCCTGATGCTCAGCTCCATGCTAACTCATTTTTCTCTCCAGTGCTTGGAACAACTCTATCAGAATGTTTGGGTTGGGCGAGGAGTCGCCTTGATTTTTGATATCGCCGCAGGTCGATGATAAGGATAATGCATGCATGCTACGTGGCATGCGATCACAGCATAGCTCATACGTGTCTTTCAATGCCAGCCATATTGGTTGCTGTAAAAATATACACAACCCGAACATAACTTCCGTAGTTTGTTTCTTATATCATTTCTCACCGTCATTAGCTCTTTCCTCACTTTGATCCTGGCCCAGTTTTTCTTCGTCTCCCATCTTACCCTACCGTGCCTTCCCGCCACAGACTCACCTTCCCCGGGTAGGATCTTATAGGTAAGACCTAATACTATTTCTTGATGCTCAATCTCATCGAAAGGTCATAATCATTATTTAGGTGTTATTATATATCACAAAAGAAGGTAGAAGTGAAGAATCTAAAGGTCATCGGCCATTATAATGTCCATATCGCATGCCCCCATATCTTCTCGAGGATCATAATCTGTCATATAGTTTCCCGGATAATCCGTCAATTCGCCATGATCCGAGAGAAGCATAGTATCATGATCAACGTATGAAATCTGAGAAGACCCAATTGCTGAGAACAATGTATCAAGAGATGTTTGAGTCGATTCCCCAATGTCTGTGAAGCTCGTTTCACTGAAATTGTCCAAAAGCTGGTCCTCGGATTCGCTATTCAACAGACATACGTCACTTTCTTCACTCTCGTCGTGATATTGTGTTTGGAAAGAATAACCCAGTCCCGGATTTCCGTTTTCGGATTGTTGCTGGACCATGGACATGCGAGGCACGGGCTCGTTTGGTCCAACCAGTCCGTTTGATGGACACTCTGTAGAGAGCATCGACGCTCGTCTTTTGATGGGTTTTATCTTGGGCACATTTTTCTGGGCGACATGCCAAAGTGATGAGAGGACTGCAGTCCTGAAACTTGGAATTTGAGGCTGTATCGTCAAGTCATCCGTGTGGTGGGAGCGAGGGAGCTCTAACAAATCTGCCAATTTAGCTTGGGTCGATGGATCTTTGTTTCCTGCCAACATGGACGATATGGCTTTCGTGATTACTGGGATTGTCACTCCTCGCTGGTTGATCGCCTGGGTGAAATTAGTACTTCACTTTCACGACTGAGACTGAGAACTCACATCCCGATACCCAGGATCGAACACCGCGGGAAAGATATCTGCGAAGCTCCTGGTCGTGGCATGTTGTGAGACACAAATTGTGGGATCTTTGATCGAGTTGGAAAGGATCAGTCTTTGGATTCCAAGATCGAACAGTCGGAAGAGTCCCTCGCATGATGGGTCTGATCCATCTCCAGATATGCAAGCAGTCTGGGATCCAAGATCTTCAGAGGAACCCTCGTCATGCATTGGCTGTAGGATTACGGCTTCTGCCATCCTCTCTACCACTTGAGGACTGGCGACAACCGATGGTTCTTGTCCAAGAAGACTAACCTCCAACTTAGAACAGTTCTGAGCTTGTGATTTATCCTTGGCTTGAAATCGATACTCCAGCCAAACATCAATTGAAGCTAAGCTAGCTACCGGTACGCCGGGGGGAGGACACGCATCTGGGGGATTGGTCATCGAACTGGGCAAAGTTCGACCCGTTGTGTGGTTCCGTATTCGATACCCTCTGCGCAAACCAATTTTGAGGCAGTGGAAACCAGATGTGTCGATGCAATATTCGCGTGCACCCGTCTTGAGCTCAACTGAGAACCCCAGATCCGACCAGATCTGGAGCAAGAAATAGTTAGTTTCCAATCTGGAAAATACTCTCTCGCACACACCTCCATATCACAGATTGTGCCTCTCAACTTTGAGACGAATGTCACTGCTTCGTTTCGATCCCAATTTCCCCCAATAAAGAAGCGCAACTCAAGCTCTGGTGCCTCCGTTATCCATACACTTTCAAGATTTGGCATTTGCAAGAGGTCGATTGGTATTTGGGGGGTTCCATGGCTTGTGTGTTGGGTGAAATGAGCCGATGCGGCCAAGCGAAGCTGCGACTTTGAATCTCGGATTCGCAGAGTGGATCGACCCAAGTCGAGGCTTTGTGCCATTGCGGAGGAAGCTCATCACCAAGGCATTATATCATTCTTTATGAGACCTGGAACAGTCATTTAAACAAGCGATTTGGTGATTGGTGAGGTGTTGGAGCGGGAAAGGAATCGTTGGACCAGATGTGGCTATGACCGTACGGTACATGGACACGGCACATGACTTTCAACATTTGAAGACCCTTGGCTTGAGAACGCGTATACCCAATTCTTAAAGAATGGTTTATTTTTACTGTTGATATCATTTCGGGCTTATATTTGTGGCATAGGCTCAGCTGAAAAACTAGATTCTCGTTTTACATATTGCTTGAAATTGATATTGTTGATGAGCCCTGATCACGGCTTAACAGCAACACATCTCAGACTGGCATATGTGATCCACTGGCTCCCATCTTCTCTTGTGGTGCCGTACCGCAGCAGTCAGCAGATCTACTCCATCGCACTGTTTTTCTTCTCCTCACTATCCAAAATATCTAGCATCTGGGCGCCGGTCAGTCTGTTTTTCATGGCTGGTAAAGAGCGCAGTGTGAAGCAATGGCATGCTCTCATGGAAGGGACTGGATTCCGGATTGAAATAATTATCGGGCTGGATAACCCTGTTCGCAGCATCATCGAAGTGGTGTTACGTGAGTATGTAGTCTTTGATTTTGCACCTTTTAGATAAACGGTATCTTTTCTTTTTGGATTGTTAGAAAGTTTGATCGATTGCCTCAAAGAGATATATAACCATAGTCTATCCCTTTGATACTTTAGTCTCATCCCCTCCCCCTTCCTACAAAAATAGAAGATACACAAGATACACAAGATGCTGCATGGTAATTCACAGAATTTGTCTAAATTGGCATCCTAAAGATAAAGATGTTAAAAGAAGTGAGAACACAACCTAGTTGATAACCTTTGTTGGTTCGTATATACTGTGGGTACTTATTCATGCAGCCCACGTTCTCTAGGTTCTTTTATGCCATGGACCGTGCGTTTTCATCTCTAAGCCTAGTTATCTATTGATTTATATTTATCTAATTATTTGTCATTAGCTAGACCCATTTGGAAGGAGGTAAACATGCAGTGGAGTACCTGTGACGTGCACATGGCAAACCGTTGTTATCTCTTATCGTACCAAATAATTCTTATCGATAAGCTATCACGTGTGGCTCCGATCCAGGTGGCCTGAAAGTAACCGTTACACTTCCAACTATCTATGCTCAGCAATGCCAGGGGATGAGTTGTCAAAGGATCACCTGTATGCCCAGAATGGCCAGGATGAACATGAAGCTCAATCACTCTTGTCTGCTTCAAGTGAGGAGCATGATCTAGCTTTCCACCCGGAACCTCTTCCGTCGCCGATCCCCTCACGTAATGCGACAAATGGCGACCGCCACTCCTCAATCTCTCAACCTGCGGCTGACGGAAAGCGCCGTACACCCCGCACCATGAACCGGGTTCGATTTGACCTTGAAGAAGAGCCCGAAGACCCCAATCGCATTTCCATTGAGCGGACTCTCAGCCCAGACGACAGTCCAGACGACACATTATGGCTGGAGGACGAGGACTATGAACTGGGAAACCAGGGCACAGGAACGCACCACAGTGGACAATCAATACCTCTTCTCACAAATATTGAAGCGCCTAGTGTGACACTTGCGACATCGGACGATTTCTTCCCCGAAGATCATCTCGAAGATGCGCGCCCGCGGAGTGGGATGAAAATGGCGTTCATGAACATGGCCAACAGCATTATCGGGGCTGGAATCATTGGGCAACCTTACGCGCTTCGTCAGGCAGGCATGGCAATGGGAATTTTACTGCTGACTGCCCTGACCATCACAGTGGATTGGACCATTCGATTGATTGTGATCAACTCTAAATTGAGTGGGGCGGATTCGTTCCAGGCGACTATGCAGCATTGCTTCGGGAAAAGCGGTCTCATCGCGATTTCGGTTGCGCAGTGGGCGTTTGCATTCGGCGGCATGGTCGCATTCTGTATTATTGTTGGAGATACCATTCCACACGTTCTAGGCGCTTTGTTTCCGTCTCTTAGGGATATGTCCTTCCTGTGGCTCCTCACAGACCGCCGGGCCGTTATCGTTATCTTCGTTTTGGTTGTTTCATACCCATTGTCTTTGTATAGAGACATTGCCAAGGTCAGCTCTTTCTTTCCTTACTACTTATCGAAGACTAACTGTTAGGTAGCTGGCGAAAGCATCCGCCTTGGCATTGGTCAGCATGGTAGTCATTGTCATCACGGTCATAACCCAGGGCTTCCGGGTCCCGCCTGAATCGCGTGGAGAGATCAAAAGCCACATCATTTTTAACACTGGCTTTTTTCAGGCTGTCGGGGTCATTTCTTTCGGTAAGTTTTAGCTATCCCTGTCCATAAGTGGAAAGCCTGCTAAAAATTTCTAGCCTTTGTTTGTCGTATGTTCCTTTTTATTCTACTGATATCACAATCGCTAATTTCCACAGACCACAACAGTCTTCTGATCTACGGCTCATTGAAAAGGCCGACACTCGACCGCTTCACCCGGGTCACACATTACTCAACAGGAATCTCCCTGGTGATGTGCCTAGCAATGGGCATCGCAGGGTTCCTGTCATTCGGGTCTAAAACCCAGGGCAACGTTCTGAACAACTTTCCATCAGACAATATCGTCGTCAACATTGCACGATTGTACAACCTCCCCATTGACCTTGATATGGAGTTTCTTGACTGATTTTGACTAGTTGCTTTGGACTGAACATGCTGACTACACTACCGCTTGAGGCGTTCGTCTGCCGTTCCGTCATGATAACCTACTACTTCCCCGACGAACCGCACAACACCGTTCGGCATGTTATCTTCACCACGGCGCTGGTGGTGACTTCAATGGTGCTGTCGTTGATAACCTGTGACCTGGGAAGTGTGTTTGAGCTCATTGGCGCGACCAGTGCTGCTGCACTAGCCTATATATTCCCTCCTCTCTGTTACATCAAACTTAGCAGTGCTACGCAGCGGGAGAAGATCCCGGCGTATCTATGCATTTGCTTCGGGGTGCTTGTGATGGGTGTCAGTGTAGTGCAAGCGGTCATCAAGATCATTCGAAGTAAGTCTGTCCCGCAAAATAGTTGCAATTCGATCCAATTGAATGGCCATTTGGTCGCACCCTCAGCACATATACTAACTCTGAATTTTGTTTCTGCAGATGATGGCGAGGCTCATAGTTGCAGTGCACCTTAGCGGGAAGGGATTCTTCAAGGACTTTCCACAGATGGCGGCGGTTTATACTCTCAGTGTGCCAGAGAAGTCTCTTGGGGCCGTGTTGCTATGTAAATATGTATCCACTTTGAACAAATAGCTGTTGTGTATCATACGCTACAATACTCTCATTCAGAAATCGCCATGTGCCGTTGTTTATGTAGGGGTGAATTGCGACGTCTCAAGATAGGTACCAGGTACTTTGGTAGATACTGTGTGCCTAGGTGGGTGGTATGTACATATACTTTCTTCAGACCAAGTGCGGTGAAGTATATCGCCCTCGTGCCAGCGACTAGGCACGTGCGCTTTGGGATTTCGGCATCGCAATCCGTCGGCATCGTTTCTCATCTTCTACAACTCCGCTCACTCTCTTCATCCCAAAAGTTCACGATTATTATCAATGGCTCCTTAACATATATCTACCTAGGTATAGGGCTTCGCTATCACGTGGCCATTTCCACGTGCCCAAAAACAGCTCCCAGGCTATACTAGACCCCAGGGCAAAAAGACCTCGACGGAAGGTACGACGGATAAGTCGCCTTGGAAACACACTATGCAGCCTCGTCGCTGCCCAAAGTAGCAATTGTTTGCGCATTCACAGACGCGTCGCGTCTTTGATCCTAACTGGCCCTGATCGTTCCTTTATTTATCCTCTTCCTATCCTCCCTCTTCCTTCTATCTACAACTACTCCTTCCCTGTTTTTTTCCCCTTCGTTTTCTCTCGCTTAGAAACCCCCAGCGATTCTAACAGTTCTTGCACAACTCTGCTTAGTGTCTGTCTCTTTCGCTTTGCAGAGTCCCAAGTCCTCGGAGTATCCCCAGTTGTCGTCTGTCCCTTAGGGACCTTGCTTGGGCTTTTTTAAAGCTTATCTCATCTCTGTCCTTCGTTCGAAGAGCCCTTGCCTCTGAGGCCGCTTCGACCTGCAAGTACATTCTCTCTGGGAGACACCACCTCCCACGCTCTAACCTTCTTTCTACCTCAGTCGGCTCTTACCTTTCGTGCTTTGGTCAACCAAACCACAATACTCACCCGGTAACACGTTGACACGTTGACAACGACTTGTCACATAAGTTTGTCCCATCACCTCATTTTACCGTTATCGACGTTTCACCCGCCGCGGGAAGCGCACTGGCAAGATGAGTGAATCTGCGGAGCATCTCCGCAAGATGCAAATCCTTCAAATGGTAATATCTATTTTCTCACTACTTCTTCTCTGGCCTTTCTAACTGATGGTTTCAACAGGCAGACTTAGGAACCGCCCGGCGTGAAATGATTTCTACTGCCGATATCAAAAATCAGGCTCGCGCACAGCTTGCCGACATTGAGTCTAAGCGACTTGTTGATCAAAGAGATGAAGCTCAGTTGAGCAAATGGGCAAGTAAGTGCTGAAGACGAAACGGTCCTGGGTCTCTCTGACTTTGTGCTAATCTTTTGTCGCAGATTTGCATGCTGAGATCGGAGATACCACGGGAATGGAAGAACTCGATGACATAGATTCCGGCCAGTCCCACCGAGCTAATTTGCATGCCATGCTGCATCCCAATGGAAGTCAGCCGCGAACCTACGCCAATCATCCCTACCCAACTCCATCTGCAGGTCGCGGTGGTGGTGTCATGGGAAAGAGAGGACGAGGTGGCTTTGTTCCCCCTCCCCCTATGGGACCTGCTGATCTTCCTCTTGCTTTCGCAAGGTAAGAAGTTGATTTACTCCGACATTCAAATCATCCCAATTGACGAAAGAGAAATTGCAGAGCCTCATTCCGTGGAAATATGAGTCGCTCAGGGCGCCCAGGACCGCGCGGTCGCTCGACTACAATGTCGGCCAGCATTCATTTAGACCCTGCCTTAAACTGCAACAACGATGACAACGATGCTCGTGACCGAGGAAGAGGACGTGGACGAAGCAAAGGCAAAGGCAGGGGCAACGCCCAAGAGCAGATTCACAGTACGTTTTGACGGGCACAGAAAGAGAATACCGCTGACATCGTTCTTAGTCCCGTCCGCCCCTAGCAGGCCCCAGCGTCCGCCTCCAGCGTAAGTGATCAAACTTCGTTGGGCGAAACTCCTTTGCTAACTTCTTCATTAGGGTCAACTTCGCCACTAGAATCTCCGAACCACAAGACTTTATGAACTTGTTCCAATCTCGCCGAGCAACTGAAACGTACAAGAAGCCTATCGATAAAATCGTCTCTGCTCCTATGCAGAATGCTGCATCTGCGCAGGAACCCATTCCGCCCAACGAACCAAAGATCAAAACGCCTCTGACCGGTACACCCAAGAAGAAGACGGCGAGCATTCTTCCACCTTCGAAGCCTGCATCCTCGCCAGTGGCACCGTCGACGACATCCAAGGCCCAGGCTACTGCAGCCAATATTTCTCAGCCCCATATTGGACCTTATCTAGTGGAAACACCCTCTCCAGCACGTGTTGTTCCTCTTGATAAGACTGCATCCTTCAAAACCCGCAAGGCCCAACCTGATACACCCAAATCTTCTCAGCCACATAATAAACCCCCTCCAGTGGAAGCCCCCACACCACCGGCATCTCATTCCGTTTCTGTCCAACAAAGCGCCAAGTCCAGAAAGGCGAAAGACATGGCGACTGGTTCCCAGGCTCCTTATCCAGCAGTGGTCGCAATCGCCGCGGATGAGATTCAATGGAAGGTTTCGCCCGGCGAACAGCCACGCAAGAAGGGCACGGCTCCTCCAAGCAAGGCAGCAATCTCATCCGAACACTCTATGCCCCTCGCCGAGGCTAAGAAGACACCCGTCGCCAAGGTCGTCCAAAACAAAGACAGCAAGCAGAATGTTTCTACTGCTAGCCAGAAGGGGAAACCCAAGCAGAAATCTCAGTGTCAAGATCTTCTGAGCGAGGATGACTCCCCGGTTAATGCAGCAACAAAAGCCTCTCACCGTTTGAAGACAGTGGCCATCCAGAGTCCAGGTACTGCGGAATTGGTAGGTCTCAAGTTTGCCGAGAAGGCCGGGGAGTTGGTGCCAACCAAGAGCATTGACGAAGTCATTGCCCCCAAAACAACGAGCAATGAGATCCCAGAAACCCTATCTCGCCGCAATGATCAGAGTCAAGAACTTGACGGCTTCGGTATCTATGGTCCGCAGATTATTGAAGAACTTCGCGACATCCGCAGACACATTCGTTCGCCTCAAGACTTGGCTACTACCCGTGATATCGAACGCATACTTGAATCTAAATTGCTCCAGTTGGTCCCTACAGCATATACACCACCTGCAGCACCTGCATCCTCGGAGATACAAAGTCGGTTGGGTAATCTGGTTGCACTTGTGGAATATCTTTCAACATCGCAGCAAGGAACTAACACTGTTGAAGTTCCTTTGGCTGCCCGGCGCGATCTTACCCCCTTTGAGGGGCACCGATCGCCGCCCCCACCTTCGTCTAGCTCAAACTCACCCCCGTCTGCTGATAAACGCGCGCACAAGGTACGTGTGCCCGGCCTCTCGCCAACCAGGAGTGAGAGTTCCGACATTATTTCGCAGTTCGAATCCCTTCAGGTCTCGGACAAACTCGCCGCGCCCCTCCAACCGCAGCGTGTGGTCCCTGTTCCGGTACTTCGTCCACTGGAAATTCCCAAAAAGACCACTACCTCCGATGCGTCTGTTCAGGTTACTCCTGCTCTGGTGTCACGTCCAAAGGAGGCAACGAAAAAGCCACAGACCCTTAACGATTCGATCTTTGCAGGACCTGTAGGCCCTGTCACTTCCAATGCTAACAGCTTTATTGAACCTAATGCGGTGCGATCCCAGACCACGACTCGGGGGTTGAGCGCAACCCATCCGAACATACTGAAGCAACCGGATATTCAGTCAACCGGCGTTCGTACAATCGGCCCTGCGCCATACAAACCCCGCGTGATTGGTCCTGCTCCCTCCCCCTATGAGCCAACCACCTTGCGGGATGTTTCAGCAGCCCACATTCGTACTGTTTCTGCACAGCATGCTAACACTGAGAATCGGCCCTCGTGGGACGTTACAAACCGTGCTTTGAGCTCCATGAGTCAATCCAGTGGTCCAGCTTCTGAGCAAGCTCCAGGTCGACTGTTCTCGATGCCTGACCCTGCCACAATTCCCCAGCCCAAGTCGAAGAGTGCTGGTGCATTCCTTTCCAACCGACCTTCTCGCCGCTAGCTAACAGCATCCAAGTTCCAGAGTCTGAGTTTCAGTGGATTTCTTCTTCTACTAGCCTCAGCCAGCTCTAGTCATCTATGGTCTCTACTTCAGTGTTGTTTTCATCTTTTTTCTGGCCTGGTTGAGCTTTGAGATCCTTCGCTTTTCCTGGCTGAATGGTGTTCCTATTTCAGTTGTTCAAATGTTCAAAAGCGAAAGTTCAATGATCGTTTAATGGGCTTTGTATGATTAACCAAATACTTATCAACTTATTGTTTTTTTATTTCACTCGATATAAATGTAGGCGGTTCGTCCCACAGAGCTGAAGGAAAACACAAGCTGTGGAGTCAGACATGTAGTCAGGGCGAAAGGTTGTCGACTTGATCCCGATCTCACACAATACACAAGTGCGTATCAATGGTGCTGAATGAGCTCTGGAAGCGCATCTCTGACCTTTTAGGGAATTGGCTGCTTTTACTTGAACCAAATTTGTGCATCAAGACTATAGATCTACTCGGGTTCACAACAGGACGAACTAAGAATCTTGACACTCCGTAAGAAGGCTTTATAAGGTATTACCTAAAAGGTAATAGGTAATCAGAAAGAGTCATTGTAGACTGCCTTGGTTGATATAGATGTAATTTATTGCAATTAAGATGGTGTATAGAATGGCCGGCGTGGAATACGATGAGATAAGCACTAAGTCTGCTAACTAGTGGACATGGATAATGTCAAGGTACTTTGGCCTTGTGCTGTCCTTTGTTCTTTTTATTCACTTCATTAACTAAATACACCTTGCGAAAAGAAATCCTTAGGTGAAACGTTGACTTCCCCCGCACATGAAAACTACATAGACGATGGAGGCGAAAAAAAGGGGCAATACCCTTGAGCATCGTCGTGTACAGAATCGCTTGGCTCAACGAAGGTTCCGTCGTAAGTAGCCAGTCGACCAGGTTGATATCCCGGCTCATCGGAAACCTGTATACTGATCAGCTCTCCAGAACGGCGGAGCCAGCCAAAGGCCACCTCAGACCAACCACCCAAACAAAGCTTAGAAACACCCATCTCGGCGACCGATGGCCCACCTGACATTTTCAAGTTCTCGACTGGAACCTGGCCGATACACCCGAGCCCTGTTAAATCCCCGGGGCCCCTCGGGTTTGGCGTCAACTGTCTACAAGGCGGCGCCAATGGACTGATCGGCATCCAAAATTTCATAAACATGGACGATTTGAGGGACTCGAGTCTAGCAGATCTCCTTGCAGGTCCGTCACAGGGCATATTTAACAACTATTCCGCTGAGAATGCCCTATTTGGCAGCGATCGAGGCTCCAACTCTAAGCAATCAAGTCCCCTGGCAAGCACAGGCGGAAGCAGCAGCACTCACAGAACTACACCAGATAATTTCGACACAAACTTCCCACCCAAAGCGCTAACAAATAAGTCAACGCCCGCTAGTACTAGTAGCGCCAGCGCAGTCCTTCCGGGGATAACAAAAGCCGACGACGCAGACTCGGACTGTCTTTCCGCGCTTCATATAGCCGCGCAGAAGGGGCACCACAGGATCATGCACGTTCTTCTCCAGCATGATATCGACTGCGACGAGATCGACTTCGATGGGTTCACGCCCTTAATCCATGCGACGATCGGCGGCCACGAAGACGTTGTCTCGATGCTGCTTACGCATGGGGCGCGTATAGACAAGGTCGATCACCAGGGCCGCTCGGTGCTACATTCTGCGGTTACTCATCGCCGCGAGGCGATATTGAAAATTCTGTTGGATTATTGCGTGGGCTACCAGGGGCTAATTGATGCTTATGATAGTGGCGGGCGCACGCCGCTGCATATTGCGGTCGATATCGGGTTTGAAGAAGGCGTGCAGGCCCTCTTACAGTGTGGAGCTAGTGTACATTATAGGACTAGGAAGGCGGTTGTTCCATAGGGTGGAATATATACTTGGATACGTCAGGCACGAGCATCAACGATAGCAGTTCAAAATGGACCAGCAAATCCCTCTCAATACCCTCATGCTCCAACCTTCATAATCTGCTCCACGACATCCAACCCCGTCAACTTCTTCAGCATCCCATCAAACGTCCCAAATGGCAGAACGCTAATCAGCCTCACAATCCAGGCCTGCCCTCCCCTCCAGATAACATGGGGCGGCTTCTTCTTCAGCAAATCACCCACCACAGCCGTTGCCCACTGCAGAGTCGGCATCCCTCCTTCAGCAAAAGCATCCTGACTCAATGCCTTCTCTACCACCTCGCGCGCTGGATAATAGATCGAATTCTCTGGAAGAGTTGGCGGCTTTGCCTCCTTTTGGTTCTTGATCAGGTTGGAGCGCACCACCCCAGTCTTCAAGTCGACAACAGTGATCCCCAAAATGCCCAGCTCGAGCCGCAGGGTGTCAGACAGCATGGCAATAGCGGCCTTGGATGCCGTGTACACGCCCTGGAATGGCAGTACGGCGACAGAGCCCACAGAGGACTGGTTGACGATCAAACCGCCATGGGGACTCTTTAGCAGCAGAGGCAAGAACGCCTGCGTGACCTCGATATAACTCCAGACGTTCAAGTCGAATAAGCGTTTAGCGTCGGCGATGTCCACGTCGGCTACGGGCATGAGATACTCGGCGCCGGCATTGTTGACCAAGATGTCGAGATTGGGAAGCTTATTCACGGCGTTCTTGATCGACTCGCTAGACAGCACATCCAGCGTGAGAGTTTCGATGCCGGCAGATGTGACTTGGTCTAGTTTGGAGGGGTTCCGGGCCGTGGCGTAGACCTTTAGACCGGCGGCGTGGAAGGCGAGGGCGAGGGAGGCTCCGAGGCCACCGTCGGAACAGCCGGTAATCAGGACGGTGCGGGCCATTTAGGATTTCGAAAGGCCTCTATAATCAGAGATGATATTGAAGAGGTAGTATAGTTCGGATATAAAGGGTTCGCAAGACTATATATACATTTCTCAATTTCTCAATCCGTTATACCCCTGGAAAGAGGAATGATATACTACTTCATCCCCCCGGCTCCGATCTTGAAGCCAATCGACAGGGCTGTTGATTACCCCCAGAGAAATTGATTACCCGTGCCAAGGCCGATCAAGCGGCCGTACCTGATGTACCTTTTGTATGGGCTCCACATCGAAAAGGTACATGCAAACACCCGATTCGGTCTAGACGCGGGTGCCCTGATTACCCGATCGGGTCATCCTGGTCGGAGAGACGTTGGGGACTTTTATATATATTATTTGTGATAGGGTGGAATCGGCCTCGGAGTTCTACACCATTGGAAGAATCAGTGATAATTGGTAAGTAGTTTCACGATTAAGTGATTATTTCACCCCAGTGTTCGCGCTCATTGGTACAACTATGAACTTCCGAAGAACTGAGACTATGGTCTCAGCCTTAGATATCTGCGTGAAAGATGCCCTAATTGCGCGAACAGGGCTCAGCCACCACTGTTATATGTATTATTAACTGTCAGTAGGAAAGCTTCATAGTATGATAATCATTACTAGAGGAACGCCCCGATATACCATCTGCTTCTCCGCCATAACTATCAAATTAAGAATGAAGGTTCACAAGAACTACGCTGGGGACGCATCAACGAGTCTCACCACGAGGGAGAATGGCAAAAAACATGCGTCAGCGAAGAGTACTTGTCCATGGACCCAAAATAATCATGATCGAAATTCTGATCGTCAAGAAAATGAAAACAATCGCCAAATGCATATGTTGTGAACACCTCGCTCGCATATTCTTTGAAAATATGATACATCTGGAAGATCTTGTCTTCACAGCGGTCTTTTGATACGTGGCCTTGAGACGTTGGAGAGGTGCTTCGGTCTTTACAAGCAATACATGTAAGGGAAAGGCTTGATCGCAATATATTCAAAAGTACAGAGTACAATTCTACTTTTTATAATAGTGACGTAACAGAAAGAGAAAAAAACACAAAGAATAACATGATATAATATAATTCAGGGCAAGAAACAAGTAAAGGGGGGTAAAAATGATCTATCACACTACTCTATCAATCACCGCACGGCGCAAATCTACCAAACTATAAAGAAAAAAAGCAAACGCTTTCAGATTATGCATCCGCCTACAACATAGACTAATATTGCACATAAGTTTTTAACAAGTCGGGTAGATCCTATATCCAAAATGCATGATTTGTCGGGGAACACGCTCCCCGTTCCGGCCGTTTCTAGGACCTTTGCACCTAAATAGACCTGTCAGGGTCCTTTTGCCTTTTCTTGTTTGGCTTTTTTTCTCTGATCCACTGTCCCTAGATGCGGCTACAGCGGTCAGGAACTGTTTTCGGCACGTTCAAACCCGGTAGTTCGATCGGGGAAGATGAGGCGACATCCGGCGGGAAGTACAGAATGGTCTGGCCAAAGTACGTAACGGTCTATATCAATATCGACATGTGTAGATTTGACGTGATGTGTGATGTGCGCGGTGCGGTGCTCACTGAACTAGGAAATTTGCTACCTAGATAGATTTTTCTCTTTGTGATATGTTGAAGTTGTAATACGGTACCAGGATGTGCCTGGATTTTTCCAGGGTGAATTTCAGCACGAGACATATCAAAATTCCAAGGTTGGTTATTTGCCTGAATCATGAGCCATGAAATATAAATGGTTTCCTATGGAGATCCTAGTTATACCCTGTCATCCAATCAGTCTCCTTTTCCGTGTCATTAATGCCACTCCCACCGCACGAGGACCTTGTGCCTTGCCTCGTATTTTCCCATTTACATATCTAAATTCCAATTAAATTCAGTCAGACATGTCTCTGGTAGATTAGAAACAAGCTTACTTACCTTCGAACCCATACGAGCGACGCCTATAGGGCTGCTGTATATCCAGGCCATAGGATCTTTTCCAGGTGGGGATGTTGATCATGTTTCCCTAGAGAGGTTAGAAAATACTGTCAAAGTCTACTCGAGCTTCTCACTTGTGTAATTGTCAAGTCTGCGGTATGCCTGCATCCTCGACTGGGTCTCAGGTATAGAACAACCGAGACCAGAGCAAAGAGGACAAGACCAAGACCGGCAAGGACAGGGTTTGCTTCTGGAGTATAGGTCCAGCAAAGACCAATCAAAGAAGTCATTTTGTCACGAATAAGGTCTATGAGTAGCAAAATTTGGCAGTGGAAAGCGATATTATCTCTCGATGGGCGCGGATATCCATTCTTCTTTAAATATACCAATTCATACAATGATATGTGGCATTCACCTTCGCCCAAGCATCAAGCCAAAGACCCTGGTCTACTACCCATCGCAGACAGCGCAGAATACCCTTCAAGAACCGCGAAAGCAGGAAACCGGAGAACAGACGCCGATCTATCAACTCGTGGCGGCACTTGACAATCACCCCCGGGGACAAAAGGATGCGCAATGCAAACTAGAAAGGAAAAGAAAAATTTGATAAAAAGAAAAAAGCAAAAGGACCAAAAGACCAAAAAGACCAAATCGAGCCGCACCCTTGAGAAATTCCGCCCTCTTTTTTTGGTGACCGTCCTACAGGCACAGATCTAGGCACCAACCCGCCAATCCCAAATCACTTGAAGTGAGAGCTGTTCACTAGGCTTAGACCTTTTTTTTTTTCTTGAGCTAATACATCAATCCGCTAATGCTAGCGTACCGACAACGCGGATATCGGAAATTGTCACCCGGTGCTGTGGGCTTGCTATGCATAGGGAAACACCCGGGTGTTTGGGGGATTCGTGGCTTTGATGCCAAGGTCTGCATAATTGCTGTCCTTTACGATTGGTCCTGGATTCACCCTGGACTCTCGCGCTAGCTCTCGGAGCACGGCAGGAGAAGGGACAGAAGGAACAAAAGGGACAGAAGATCCGGGTAGACTTTCTGCTTTTTTGCTTTTGTTGTACCGGTTTCTTGGCATCAAGCTTGGGAGGATCGAGTTTTCCAATCCCTGTTCGTACTTTGGTATCATGGATGATGTCAATTGTCAATTGTTGGTGCCGGGAGCTAGGTGGGTTATTTATATATTTAAGTTTTGATATGATTGATATTTCTGCGATATAAACCCGGGATCTAATCCTGCAATTGTGTCCCTGAAGTCCAGCATGCTCCAGGCTCGTTTTAGGATAACAAAAATAAAATATGCCAATGTGAAAGAATGTATCAATATCCAGTTAACTCATCTGGTTTCCCCCGCCAGGATCCTATGGATCCATTGGCTTTAAGCACTCCGGAACGCCTACCATACTTCCCGGCCGTGATAACCATATCATGACGCCGTCGGCCAGACGTGAAGACAAAAAAAAATTCGATGAAAACGCTTGTGGTTGGAAATTGCGCGGTAATGCACCCTCCTTGAGGGCAAAAAAAGACAAATCAGATCATGTTCATTACTGGCTTGGTGGACGAGGCCCAGAAGAAGGCCCAGAGGAGTCAACATCCGAGACCCGGGGCCTTTTTGGGTCGTTTGGACCGGGTGCCGGGACCCCTGGATATGTGCCAGGTGTAGCATCGGCATTGGTGACGTCCACCAATGGAGGCCGTTTTCCGTTAAGATTCTGCTGGGGTGGCACACTGCCTCGATTCATTACGGCCGGGTTGGAAACGCTCCTTTGGTCAACGTTGGGCCGGGTCAATGGTCGATACGATGAGACAGAAGGGCCTCTGCTGACCGGACTGCTGACTCCACCGCCAGGAGCACCGACTCTGCGCTGCAGATCAGTTGCGGGATTGACAAAATCGCGTGTGTTGTTGTTATTTGTTGGTGGTGCTGGAGAGGCACTCGACAGCATCGGCCTAGCAATAGGAATGCTTTTGGTATGGTCTACACCAGCCGTCTTGCGGATGGAGGGACTCTCTGCGTGTGGATCGAATTGAGGTGCTCCCGACGGGACGGAGTTTGGATTTTCACGGAGCAGGTCTACTGCTCTGGCAGAATAGAAACCCGTTGATGGTGTGCCATGTGGTGGGTTCATGTCCTGGTTTCCCTGAAATCCCCCTGGGCCGGGGTCCTTTTTGATCGGAGGCTGGGCGATGTTGTTTTGTGGAGCATTCTGACCAACTGGTTGCTGTGGTGGGACTGATGGTCTGGGGTTTGCAAGATTTTGAGCAGGACCTTGAGCGGCCATTGGTCGAGCCTGTACCGCGGCTGGAGATGGGATAGCCGATGGGTTCTGTCGCGCATTTAGGGGATTAGGTCGTCCCGCTTGGCCCGAGCCGTTCCATCGCTCTGGTTTTGATGGTGTTACGACAGCGGGGTTAAATCCTGCTCGAGCAGGCGGTCCTCGCTGAGGCGCTAAACCGTTCGTTGGCACAGGGCGCTGCTGTTCTCGATGGGTCTCTGTATCTATTATGATCTCATCGGGATTGCCTATATCGGTCTCAGCTACCCCGAAATCGGCTTCATCAAACAGGTCACCTAGAGATCATTAGCCAAGGTTCAAGGTTGTGGTTTTTTTTACACATACTGCCAAACTCTCCATCCCCTTCGAAAGAAGTATTATTCCCAGGATTATTGCCTCTCGCTTGATGTATAGGACGAGGAAGAGGTAGATCATCCTCTTCGGGTGCACGTTTTGGTGGAGGCAGCTGTTTCTTGGCGGGTGGCGCGAAGTCAGGGTGGCGATGAAGATCTTCAACGTCCCATCTTCCCTATTTGATAGTCAGCATGGCGCATGGCAAATTGGAGGACATCGGGGACCTTACAGGCGCTGCCTTAACTTTAGTCACCTTGGCCACATAATCCTTGTCATAGATACAGTTACCCAGCACGTTGCCGAAGTTCCTCAATGCACGCTTCAAAGCATCTGTTGTGCCTTCTTTCTTGGCCTTTTCAAACGCTGCGGCCTTGCCCTTGCAGTTCTCGATATGCCCGTAGCCAATATCCTAGAAGAGGGCTGGAGTTAACACAACAACCCACCAAAAATTTATATCCCGAAGAGATTCCTTTACCTCATGGAAGGTTCCATCCCTCAGGGTGACTCTCATAATGACTGAAAGTCCCAGGCTGATCTTGCCGGTGTTTTGATTCTCTTCAACCTGATAAGCGTTAGTCAAACCTGAAGTAGTTGATAAGCGTATGATCAACGCACGAAATCAATCTGAATCGTCTGAATCGAGCTGGACCAGCCATTGAATCCAAACACCTCATTCGCAAGGTTAATGCATTTGTCCGCGGAGAGATAGTGCACTTTCTGCCCCGCAGCACCAGGTCGCGCAGAGATGTATTCGGGTCCCAATTTCTTATCCAGACGGGCTTGTAGTGTTGCAATTTCCTGTGCGGTGTATTCGCTGATGCGGCGTTGGGGTTCCTCGAATGGGTTTGCTGTGGCGGCTCCTGGAGCGTTCGGCATCATTATAGATCCCGCACCACCGCGATGTTGGTCACCAACGCTGAGATTATCACTATCAGTGCTCGATTCCATGGGATATGACAATTTCCGGGTCCTGGGTATTGAGTCTCACGCTGGCATGTTTTGTTGTGAATGAGTGTCGAGTTTGATATTAGAGATGTAATGACGGCGTGTCGAGCGCGTTGTCAGGCACCGAGACGGACGCGGCTCATCGCGACATCACATGACGATAACGCGATAAGATAAAGATTAGAGCTTCAATGGATGAGCCAAGTCAACCTCGGGATGCAAGTAAACAAAACACATTACTATTTAGGGATAGTTGGGGACTAATTGGGATGTTATTTACCTTTGGAGGCTATACTTCGGGCTTTCATCTCATTTCTCATTCTTTGTAAAAGCTATCTATCCTTTGGGATAAGGGAGGGTATGGCATCAATCATTGGATGACGAGACTGGCACTAGGCACAAGTCCTAGTTCCTTCAAAGTCTCTCCGAAGAACTCATTATCAAACACCTTCTTGGGGAAGGTCTGCACGAAGCTCTGGACCTCGATCCCATCCTGTTCCCTCAACGCGGCGGCAACCTCAAACAACGTGGTGTCAACGGGCAGTGTCTTCATGATGTTACCCTGGGATGACTGGAATCGCAACCGAGTTTCCGTATAGGCGGAGGCAGGTTTAGATGTAGCGGGACCGGAGGAAGTGGGTGCCGGGGCGGCGGCGGGCTGGGGAGGAGGAGCCACACCGGCACGCTCAGCTCGCTGCTTCTCTGCCTTCAATCGACGCTCCTCCTTATCGGCCTCGATTTTTGCCTTGATGCGCTTCTTGGCATCGATTTCATCCTGCTTCTCCTTCTTCTTCTTGGCTGCCTCCTTCAACTGTTGCTTCCGCTCGAGGTCCTCCTTGGCATCTTGACTTTCCTTGGTGCTCTTCCTTCGGATTTCCTGGTAATAAAAGTCAGCAAAATACTCCTAGTCACTAGATTGACGGGACTAAGATTAGAGATACACACCTCATTCTTCTTCTTGTCAATCTTGTCCTGATCTGAGAGCCCTGCGCGCTTCGCCGCAAGCTTCTCCCGCAGCTCTGCCAGTCTCTGCTTCTTCTGCTCCTCGGTCAACGGAGCAATCTCCTCCGTAGACTCAGCAAAATCAACATGTCCAGACTTTGATGCGTGGAACTCGGCCTGTGACTGGCCTCGGAACTTCTTGCCGCACTCGTTGCATACTAAGCTGCGTGGTTGTTCGCCCGGTTGAAGTGCGGGGCCCTCTTCGTCTTCTGCCTCTTTCGCTTGTGTCTGGATCTCCTCCAATGACTTGTCTTGGTTGTCTTCGAGCCACTGCAGTGCACCTTGCACTATTCAGCTAGTCAGAGATACATCAATGTGGATATCGGCGGAAAGGGCAGAAACTTACAGCCACCAGTCGTCGTCACTGCGAGCTGGGCGCGCTCTTTGTCGAAGCCCATTTCAATGAGCTGGTCCAGGTCCGATGCCATGATGACTGTTGGGACGTGAAAAATATAACCGTAGGAAGCGCTCTGAAAATGAGCACAATTTGTCAAGATTGAATGAAATGGGTGGTTCAGATGTGAGTTAGGTCGCGAGAACAGAGTGGGTGACGTATCAGAAAGGCGGCGAGCGATAAGGCCCACTTGCCTTCCCCGGGTTTCTATGGCATCAAGTACTTCTCGATGGCGTGTCTGAGGGATAATTCAAAATTTATCCGCGTTGAAAGAGTTGAAATGTCAATTGCAACTTTCCATGTCGTATTTGACTTGTACTGCGTATGCCCACCTCTCTCACTTACTATTTGGGTGGCTGTGTCGCGTGGCTCATAGAGCCGAATAAACACACAAGTTGAAGATAGTGGCGTACAAGATGTATTCAGGGGAACCTGTCAAGCACCATATACAGTACAATACCAGGATATATTTATGTGTGCGCATGTATACATGGGGAGGGGCTATCATCGTATAGTTCACCGAAGGACGTGTGTGACCTGCATCGTAGGTATTCCAAGTTTTAACCCTCCATGGATAGAATATCTACTACAATACATTGACAAGTTAGATGACGTCCATGAACATGCAAGATTGAAATCAGCATAACTTGAATGCGTCCGAGGGATATGGTCGCATACCTCAATGCCACAGCTTCATGCATTTCAACCATGGAAATGAAGCCTATATCACATATGTAGCCTATTATTCTGGGCATAAATTGCCAGGGACCGCCGTACGAGATACGAGCAATCAATAGAACATGAAATACATGCAATAATCTAAACACAAGTGGGATGATTGCCCCCACCGCAAGCATCACATGCAGGTGGGGATGGATGTTCCTCCTCGGAAGCGACCTCGGAAGGATGTGACAGCATACCGCAGAAGAGTAATGAGGCATGCAAACCAGATATACACAGTCTCACAGCCAAGGTCCCAATACAATAAACAAAAATGAAGGCAAATATTCCACTTCCGATGTATAGCTTGTCAATAGTGACATCACCTGACTGTTTGCTGACTCAGCCAATTTCCCCGAAAGTGCCCAGGTGGACAGTAATCAAACTCCTGAGGCATCCATCACATCGGCTTAGACCTGATAACCCTCCCACACCTTTATTTCCCAATCGGAACCTAATCGCGTGCAGTCATCTGTGCTCTTGTCGTCTTTCTTCTCTTCTCCCACCTCTTTCACTCTGACCACGTGCACCATGACTATCCAAATTGAGCCCTCCGAGTTGGGCTTCAAGCGTGAGTGCCAGACCCCGAGCCTGCCTCAGACCTGCCTAGATCAAAAGCTCATCTGTTGATAATAGGTCCCTTCAACCATGAGGTATGCCAGGTTCTCCGCCTGAGCAACCCGAACGAGGAATCTGTGGTCTTCAAGGTATGTGTGACACCTCCCTCGGCCTTTGTCGCGGGACAAGCAGTACTAACATATGTCCTCGGCGCACTAGGTCAAAACCACCGCTCCTAAGCAGTATGTCGCGACGATTCTCCGCGAAATGCCTAAACTCGAGATTTGTTATCTGACCATATTCCAGTTACTGTGTGCGACCTAACTCCGGCCACATCGAGCCGGGCAAGACTGTCGAAGTCCAAGGTTAGTTGATAAGCGAATACGCATAAAGTACGGCGGACTAAATATTCTCGATAGTGTTGCTTCAGGCTATGAAGGAGGACCCTGCCCCGGATGCCAAGTGCAAGGATAAGTTCCTGGTCCAGGCAGTCCCGGTCTCCCGTGGTTTGGAGGATGCCAGCGTTGGCCAGATTGTATGTCCACAACGCGGGATCGCGAACATCAAGACCAATAACTAATATCCACGTTTAGTTTGACCAAACCCCCAAGGCCGACGTGGTTGAGCGCAAGATCCGAGTTGTCTACCTAGCCACAGATGCCACAGATGCCAACGACTCGGTATGCTACTCAGCAATCATCTCTCCATACACATAGTCTAACTTTCACCAGGTCCATGACGAGGAAGCTCCAGCGTACACTTCTCCTGGCGGCGCAAACTTCCAGACCCCCGCCCCCAAGAAGATCGACTCCGATGAACCCTCCCCAATCCCTGCACCCGATTTCTCCGAGAAGAAGTCCCAGTCTCCCCAACGTGAGCCGGCATCTGTCATTTCAAACGCCAGATCCGCCGTCGTCAATGCCCTTCCCTCAAGCGATGAACTCAAGTCCCAGCTGTCCGAAGCCAACGCACAGATCCAGCGGCTGAAGGACCGACTTGCAGACCAAGGACTGCGGCAGCGGAAGACCGGCGGAGAGGCTACCGGCAAGGCTGTGCCTGCTACCATGCAGCAGTCACATGCGCCAACGGCCGGTGGAGTTTCGATCCAGGGTGTAGCATGCCTCTGCCTGCTCAGCTTCTTGATCGCATACTTCTTCTTCTAATCTGGTCTTCTGTTTGTCGCTTATCTCACGGTCTATCTGGCTTCATTGCGCCTACTCTCCGTTTGCCCAATGCCTCCGGTCTAACGTCGCTGACGCCTCTCCCAAATTCCCATCTACTTTTTGTCTCTTGAAGAGCATGCCGTTTTCTATCTGTTCTAGCATCAGCCTTTTTCTGCGTCTGCTTTGAGTTTTCTCCCCAGTATCAATATTCTACTTTCATGTTGTCTCTCCGGACTTCCAAACCCCCCCCTGAGGCCGGACATCTGTCTCATCTTCTTCTTTGTTGTTGCTTTCCTTTATTTCTTTCTTTGCCCTTCCTGTCTTGTCTAATATCGTTTTATGATGCCCAGGTGAACGGACTCAGCCTCTCGATTCGTTTCTCTTTGTTTCATAAACCATTCTCGAGCTCGGGATAATCCATGTGATTGCTACTAGAGCTAGGTCCGTTTCGTACATAGTTGGGGACTTCTTCTCCCTCTTCCGGTAATTGGTTGATTGCAGTCATTCGGTCCTGTCTTTGCACCTTACATGGTTTTATGGACACAGCAACCGGAAATGACAACCCAATTTTATTGTAAACAAATATATCTAAAAAGTACAAGTACTCCACCCAGTAATGTATGTAATTGAAAAACTGAAAATTCAACACCGGACGTTATACTCAAAAGGTGGAACAAGATCTAGCATTGAAGCTCACTCTCCTTCCACCCATCACCCTCCTCGGCCGCCGGACCCGCCGACGAAGCCGAAATGCCCTCACCACTACGCCCATTCCATTGCTTAGACGCAGCAGAATCACCACCGCGCTTCGTCCCACCACCAACAATCCGTCCACCCTGTTCGCGCTTCACACGACACCACGGACCGACATTCTTATCCAAGATGAAAGTGTAAATAACCCAAACCCAGCTCCGGTGGCAAGGCAGCGGCTCATAGAACTCGCGCGCAATCTCATGCAGCTTATGCAATCTAGTCCAGGGGATAGCAGGGAAATCGTGGTGCTCGTTGTGCAAGCCGACATTGTAAGTGAGGATATTGAGCGGGCCGTAGTACGAGTATGTCTCCGGGGGAGGCAGGGAGTCGAGCGGGTGCGGAACCTTGGTCTTCTCGTTCTTCTTCAGCTCCGTCAGGGACTCTGTGCCGCCGCTCTTCACGTTCGAGAAGAAGTAGTGCTCTGCGATGAAGTGGCCTGCGCAGGGGTGCAGAGATCCGGCGAGGAATGAGCTCAGAAGGAAGTATAGCACTGGTTGGATGGTGCCGCCGCATAGTTTGCTAAGGGCGTAGTCGAAGCTTATTTGCACGCCGAGGTTCAGGAGGTGGATGTAGGTGAAGGGTGGGCTGTAGATGAACATCGGCCGCACGGCATAGAAGAGGATTTGGAAGGTGCAGAAAAAGGTTTTGCCCAGGAGGGAGTTTAGGAAGAAGGCTTCCACTGCTGTGGGGAGGTCGGTGTCGAGGCCTGTTACGCCAAGGGATTTGTGGTGCGTCAGGTGGTAGGGCTGTTGGTGGTATTTTGTCAGTTCATGGTTTCTCTTGGGGTCCTGCTAGTCTCTGGCATGTGGAAGAGTATACGTACTCGGAAGGCTGCGCTGTATGGCAGTCCGATAGGGAGGTTGGCGAAGATGGCCAGCAATCGGTTGGCAAAAGCGGACCGGAATGCCAGGTTGTGTGAAATCTCATGGATGGCTAGGAACAGGTTCTGGTTGCAAGTCGCACCGATCACGTATGCTGTGACCAAGAACCGCCAATCGAGCATTGAGGTGTTGCGGAGGAGGTAGGCACAGGTGAGTTGTAGGGACACGACGCCGAGGACGACCCATTTGGTGAGAGGCTCGGGGCCACATAGCTTGGTAACCTACAGATACATAACATCATGAATCAGCAGTGCAATTGGATTTGTTGAGGCTGTCTGTCGCCTAGGAAAGTGGCCAGGTGTATGTAGGAGCTCCGCGGACCTCCGCATGGAGTCTTCGCCGAGCGCCCATACCGCCATTAGGGCCCGCAAAACAGTGCCACGTACCTCCGGATGGGCCTTGATAATTGCCTGTCGTCTTGAGCGATGCGGCTCTTCGGTGTATGTCCAGAAGAAATGGTCGTCAACCAAAGCCTCCGGTGCCTGGATTCTGGTGGACTCTGGCTGTGTTTTGTCGGATGCCTTGGCTGCCGACACCCGGAGGTGCGGCGAACTTGTTTCAACAACCGCAGACATGGTGGAAATTGGTATGTGTCGAAGTTTAGGCCATGAGAGAAAGGAGCCGATTTAAAAAGGCGGAAGACGGTTGTTCCACTCCACGTGGGGCGACACGGCATACTTGATGGCTTGAGGCTTGGCAGGATCGGCGCTTTGATGTCAGGGTTTTGGTGACTCTCCCGACGTCCAATCTATTTAAGACATTACTAATGGGATGGATCTTGGAAAGATGCTTTTAGTATTTACTTATGTCTATGAAATACATCAGTAGTCGTCGCCACGGCTAATAACCTCCTTCACATTCGGGCGCAACACAATTGTCTAAAACAAGTCAGTAAACAGTCCAAGTGGAGAAAATCCCAAAATAGAAACATACATGTTCATATTGGGCAGTGTATGAGCCCTTGATATCGCAAAGAGGAGGGTAGTCCTGAACAATTCCAGAAGAAACCAAGTTGTTCAACTATGTTCGTTAGCTTCAGTGTCTCACAAATGAACTTCGTCGTTAACTTACGCCCAAAAGGTACTTGTCCTGACCCAGGCGGTCAATGTACCGGCGACAGAAGGGAAGGGTGCCAAAGTTCTTGTTGATCAGATTCAACAAGTTCTTGGCGGAGGAAAGACGCAGGGGAACGTTAGGAGCGTCGGAGGCGAGAGCGTAGTGCGAGGTTTCCATCTGGTGTCATGTTAGCTTTGGTTCTCGACCCAGTAACTACAGTGTAAACTTACTTCCTCTCGCACGTAACCTTTACCGGTACTACCGAAAGTCTCAATGGCGAAAACTTCACCCTCTTCCATCTTGGTCTGGTCGGTGCTCTTGACGATAGGCACACTCTTGCCGCCGTGGATGACGTGCTGGTCAATATTGTGACCGTTCAAGTTGCGGATACACTTGACGGGGTGCATCGTGCCATTGAGCTCAACTTCGTAACTCTCCATAGCTTCTTGGATGGCGGCACCGATATCACTCATACGGACGTCAATTCCCGCTTCCTAAAAACCCGTTAGCTCTGCTTGAAACGAAGAAGAGTAGGAAAACTTACCCGGATACCGGTGTTGGTGGCGTCCTTAACAGCAGCAAGGAGAGGATCGTACACCGGGTCGAAAGTCATGGTGAAAGCACTGTCCACAATGCGGCCGTTAAGCTGCGCACCGAAGTCGACCTTCATCACGTCTCCCTCGTTCAGGACCATCTTGTTGCCCGCGTTCGGGGTATAATGCGCAGCGCAATGGTTGATGCTCAAACCGCAAGGGAAGCCCATGCCACCCTTGATGTTATCACCCTCCTCGAGACCTGAGTGGCCTGTCAGAGCGCGCACTGAATCCTCGATACCCTCCGCGATCTCAGTCAAAGTCTGGCCGGGCTTGATGTTCTTCTGCGCATACTGGCGGACTTGACGGTGAACCTCGGCACCCTGGCGGTACTCCTGCAGGAAGTCGTTGTTCATGCGATCGAGGTATCGTTTTTCTTCGTTGGTGGTACGGTAGGCATTGTCGTTTAGGTATTCGACGATCTCGCCCTCGGGATATTGGCCGTTGGGGAAGAGGTTAGACACGGGGACACGCGGTGGCTCGCTCTGAACCTTGGCACCACCCTTCTTCTTGCTCTTCTTCTTGGGCTTCTTCTTCTTCTTCTTTTTGTCGGCTAGGGTTGACCCCGCTGTTAGTTCAATCCGGCCGACTTCTGTGGGGTGGGGTGGGGTTCTAGAGGCGCAGTCACAGAAATAAGCCTCAACGAAACTTACCTCCAGCAGCTCCAGCCTCTGCGGCACCCTCGCCGTCTTGGCCGTCGTCCGAGTCCTCCTCCGCTTCAGCGGGAACCTGGTCTGCCGTGGGGGCGGCTTGGACGTTCACTGGTATCTAATCAGTCACACATGGGAGAAGCAAACAGAAAATTTGGGAATCTTACGGTCCAACTGATCCAACTTCTCCGTAGTCTGAGCTGCCATATTGAAGGTGGCAATTAAACAAGTTGTATGCTCAAAGGCAAAAGAGGGGAATGTCGGATGTCGGGGAAAGATTTTTGCTGATAAGATAAGGCGATTTCTTGGAGATTTCCTTGGCAGCGGAATGTTACTAGACCTATTCTTGCATGGACGACGACAACTTGCCCTCATAATGACAACCCTGAAGTTTATACGTGAGTCACTTTGTAGACTTCATTGCAGACGTCTACTGTCATGGTAGACAGAAGCCATCCAACATCTCCCGTTCACGTTGTCTACTATTGTCAACTATTAAGCCATGTCGCTGCTTCCACTCCCCGTTGAACTTCTACTAGAGGTATCTTCGTATCTAGAATTTCTTTCCGATATCGGCTCCCTCTATCAATGTCATCCTCTTCTGTATACTTTGTTCAAAGACAGAGTCAACGAGCTTCTCAAGACGGAGCAGTATCTCCAACCTCTGGCGTGGGCCGCAGAAGCCGCGGTTGATCTTGAACGCGGGGCACAGCTCAACCAGCCAACTGGCTCTTGCAATCACACGCATTTGCTCTGCACGGTCTTGGGAGTAGGTGTAAATAACGTTAGAACTACTCGATATTTCGTCGGGAAAATAACCAAGAGCATCGTGGATGAAGACGGGTATGAGCAACTATGTCGATACTTTGACAAAGTTAGTAACTGCGAAGTACTGGCAATAAAGCTTCTATTGGAGAAAGGGGCCGATCTTCTCTTTTTGAACAGAAGTGGGCAGTCTGCCCTGACCGTGGCCGCAGCTGCATGGAGAGATGATATTAAAACGGTCAAGATGCTGCTGGGATATGTTGATCAAAACGTTCTGACCAGTACAATCAAGTCTCATATATTGGCAGCTTCGAACTGAATTTTAGCTGTGTCACCTTGAAAATGCCATCAAAATTGGTTGAAAAGTGTAGATATCGTCATGAATAAGATTCTTTTAAGCGCCCAAGTGGATATTCTATTGATTCAATCAGATTTTCAAGAGTAAACATTTACCCACGACCGAGAGAAGACGATTCCATCAATGGTATTCTTAATTTAGGGACTGTTTCAGGACCGGGACTCGTGAAATGTTGGGGGTCTCTCACCCAACGCCGCAAGCGCCGTTGGAAATTCGATGCGAATATGAGACGTAAGGATAATCAAGGTGCGGAGGAGCTGATTATTTTTTTGAAGAGGTGGCCCAGGGACTTGCGCAATACGAATGGTTTGCACTTGTCGTGCTACGCCATATATTTGCTGGCTTCATCACAATTTACTAAGCGCTTGAGGTATACGTCCCATATCCTTGACATCCAGACTCTCAGCATCTGGATCATCCATGGCACCAGTAAGCACAAGCCCGAGGCTCATTTATATCAATCCCACTTTCATACTGCTCATACACCCTATTTCTGAGGCACCGACTATCGTAAGTTTCAACCAGAAATTGTCCCCAGTACGACCCGTCGATCTAGCCGTCGTTTGACCTCCATCATATGCCTCGAAGATTGTATCTCGTGAAAACCCAGGCATGCAAGTCATCTCGGCACTGAGGAACCCGGGTCCCTATAACTACCCCGGAGGCTCCAAGAGCCAATGCCGCAGTACACACTCTCTCATCAATGATTCCACCAGCTGCAATGAGATACGTCTCATATTACCGAGTCCAAGCTCATGAAGAGCATCCACAATCTCTAGAACGAAAGAAACAATAATCCCACAAGACGTGGATCCTTAGGTATCCCAAGCTAGCCAAGGAGTGTTCTCATTGGATCAAGTAGTTCACCGGAAGGTTGGTGCCCGCCGAAATGGCATAACCCATGATCTCTTATCTAATCTGATCATCAGCTGGAGTTATGGGAATTGCAACTGCCCACGTGCCTAAGTGTAAATTATATTGAATGTGTTATTTGGAGAGATAAGAGAGACCAAATAGAGTGATACCATACTGTAGAATCTACGAATAACCAGCAAATACATGGTAAACTTGTTGGGTCGATCGACCTCTAACCGCAGTGACGCCACTCCGATCTTCACCTCCGATCTTCTTCCGCTTGTCTCTCCCTCTCTCCCTCTTCCACCCCTCCCTCCACCTCCTATCCAGGCTCTTGTTTTTCTATTTATTTCGATGTAACACCCTCTAAATACACGACAATGCCTCCTTCTCGAGTAACAGCAATCCTCCTCTTTCCGCGCGCGACCCTCTCTCCCTCCCCTTCAACCTACCGGAGCATCTCAACACAACCCCTCCGACCACAATTACACTCACGCCAACAACAACAACAGCGGCCCTCAAAACCATCTATATCCTCCTTCTCAACCAGCAACCCAGCCCGAGCCCACGAACCAAACTTCTACGAAATCCTCGACGTCACCACAACCGCATCAGCAGCGGAGATAAAGAAGTACACCCACACCCAACATCCCTCCTCCACCCCACCACCCTTCATCTCCAATACCAAATCTATCCCTGATACTTACATACCAAACCTCTAGACAATTCTACGCCCTCTCAATGCGCCACCACCCAGACCGCAACCGCACAGACCCAGACGCAAGCCAACGCTTCGCCCGCATATCCGCCGCCTACAACGTCCTCGGCAACGTCTCAAAGCGCGCAGTCTATGACCGCGACCACGGCTTCCACGTCACGCAACACGCAGGCCAAAGTCACAGCCACCAACACCCGATGGGCAGCCACAGCAGCTACGCCGGCTCACGGCCCGCCAGCGGGCTGAGCAAGCGGCGCTCGACATTCCACGGTCCGCCGCCTAGTTTCTACGAGCAGGGTGGGTATGGTGCTACGGGGAGACAGGGGCAGGGATGGGCGGCTAGCAGCGGTAGTGGTACTGGGTCGGAATTCGGGGCTGGCGCTGGCGCTGGCGCTGGCGCGAAACATGCTGATCCTGAGGATTGGGAGGGGTTTATTCATCGTAATCCGTTGAATCATTTTAATGCTCAGGGTCATTTCCGCACGCAGGCGGCGGAGGATAGGAGGAGGAGGGAAAGGAGGAGGGAGGCGAGGAGGATTGATGAGGATCGGGCTGCGCGCGAGCCTGGGGTTGATCAGACGATTTCGAGGTTCTTTCTTTGCTCGGGGTGTTTGATTGTTATGCTTGTTGTCGTGGATCTTTGGCGGTCGGTTCCTAAGGTTGTTGATGGGAGGAAGACGAAGAAGCAGAGGGAGGCTTTGTCTTCTTGACGGAGTTGTTTTTGCTCTGATTAAACATACATAGATCCTTGGATACGTATAGTTTCTTAGTATGTACATACATAGTTCCAGTACATTGCTGGTTGATGTACCCTACTCTTGCATGGCTACGACACCTCGGGGTGCTCTAGATCGTATGACTCGATCGGATTGATCAACAAAGGAAACAGTTGGATTTGATATACAAAGGGTGAATCGAGCAGAAAGATCTACGACACACACATGGTTATTATCTTGGACAAAACCCCCACCATAATCATCGTTCTGGCGAATCAGCAAGACAAGTGAACTAGTAACTGAAGTTTACAAAAATCTTCCCAAAAAATGATAGCTCATCTGTGGGGTACCTGGAAGGCTAAAATCCAGACGCTTAAGCCTCGAAGGTGAAGCTGGCGCCGACCTTGTGGGCAGCCTGGTTCAGGTTCTGGGTATCGAAGGAAGCACCGAGGCCGAGGGTGACACCAGGGCGGAGCAGGACGTTGTAAGCCAGAGCGGCAATACCACGGTCGTTGATCTTAGCCTGTATTGCGAGAAAATTGCGCGATTAGTCGTGATTCACAATAGTTATATAAGCACTTTAGACGCGTAAAACGAACCTTGGCGAAGGAAGAGGGGTCCAGGCGGTACTTGCTGGCGACCTCGAGGCCGACGGCGTTACCGGAGGTGGAGTCCCAAGAGGCCTTGGCACCGGCCTCAACCTGAGCGTTGACGCGGTGGTAGTAGCTGGCGGAGAAGAGGGACAGGTTGTTGCTGGCGGTGATGGCAGCGGAGTACTGGGCAACGCTGTAGCCGACGGCAGCAGAGTACTTGGTGATGGCGGCCTTGTTGACGTCGTAACCACCCTCAGCACCGACGAGGAAGCCCTCGTGGCCGAGAACGGCGTCGAAGTTGGCGGAGGGGCCGTTCAGGAGATCGAAGAAGGCACGGGCATTCAGGTTGGGCTGCTTGAAGTACAGGTTGAGCTTGGCACCCTTGGACTGCTTAGCGGGCTGGTACTGGGTCAGGATCTCAGCCTTGAGGCCCTTGGCGATGTTGTTGTCGAGCTCGAGCTTGGTGTCGAGAGCGTTGGCGGTGGTCCAAGCCTGGGTGAGGGTGAGGCCTGATCGGAGTGAGCATATTAGCCTAATCCTGTGCACCTTGGCATCCGAAAAAATAAATAGATTCCCCCGGCGCGCTATTGGAATACCGCATCCGAACACCAATGGCATAAGGCGGGCTTTGTGCGCGCCGGGATCGGGAGGTTTTTTGTGGAAGGGGCCTTTACCAGTGGGCGCATCAACGTATTTGGCCTCGAGCTATAGGCACACCAATTAGCGATTTGCGTAGTGAATCGGAGAGGATATTCAACGAACCTGGCCAGCAATGGGGCCCTCGTGAGCAGACTTGCCCTTAACGGTGAAGGTGACACCGTTGGGGGCCTTGGACTTAACCTCAAGGTTGGCTAAATGATTTTAATCAGCTATTGAATCTTCCGTAAGTGGCGAAATGCCATGGATAAACAAACCAGCGGCGCCATGGTAGAAATCCTTGTTCAGGAGCTATTGGGATTAAGTATTAGCCAAGGTTCAGAGTTTTGTCCCCAACAGTTGTGCGTACATCGTTGGTCGCCTTGGCGATATCGGAGAAAGCAGCGGGGGCAGACATATTGACGAGAGTGGTCTGATTAGAGATGGAGGAGAAAGAGGTGGTTCTATGAAGAGATGAAGGAGAGGAAGGGAAGGAAGAGTTGTGATGATGTTGGGGAAACCTAGGGGCTTAGCACGGGTTAGTGGGAGGTCGGTGATTGGCGGCTGCCCGGCTGCCGGGAAAGCCCGCCGGTAATGTTTGGGCAGGTCAGGTCACGTGTTTAGGGGAAATACATCCAAAGAAAAATATTGAGATCATACATTATACCGACTATATACCAAAAGGGTATATATACAATCTAATCCGGTGCTATATCCCCCAAAGAAAATGCTAAATCAGAAAATAAAGTTCAGATCCTTTTGTTTATATGCTCTCAGACTTTTTACTCCGACTTGTCATACTTCTGGTTGTGGATGGCGATGGCTCTGCAAAGAATGGTTAGAGAAAATGAACCAATAATAGGGAATAAAAAAACAATAGCTCACCTTCCACTGGGGTCGCTCTGCTTGGACCAGGTAGGGGTCCAGCGCTCGACAGTACCGGCACAGTAGGGAGGGAAGTGCTCATCGAACATGGTACGGTACCAGTATCTATACCCCAGGTTAGTTTCAACAGTGTTATAAAATGGGGGGAAAGTGGGAAACATACGCCTCCTTGGTGTCGGGAACGTCAGTACCCCATTCGGCCTTAGGGTTCTTCATCATCTCATCGGTGACCTGGCGCTCGGCCTCATCCTTCAGGCCGTCAATCCAGCTGTAGCCAACGCCATCGCTGAACTGCTCCTTCTGGCGCCAGAGGATCTTGTCTGGCAAGTACGCAGCGGTCTCAGGCTCATCGGTGGTGTCGAAGGCCTTGCGCAGCATGTGCTTCTCGATACGCTCGGGGGTGATCATCTTGTCCTGGGGATCGACACCCATGCAGGTCTCGAGGAATTCCTTATCGAGGAAAGGAACACGGGCCTCAAGACCCCACGCGGAGGTGGACTTGTTAGCACGGAGGCAGTCAGCCAAGTGCAAGTTCTTGACACGGCGGACGGTCTCCTTGTGGAGCTCCTCCTTGTTGGGGGCAGCGTGGAAGTAGAGGTAGCCACCGAAGATCTCGTCGGAACCTTCACCACTCAGGACCATCTTGACACCCATGGCCTTGATCTTACGGGAGAGCAGGTACATGGGAGTAGATGCACGGATGGTGGTCACATCGTAGGTCTCGAGGTGGTAGATCACGTCAGAGAGGGCATCGAGGCCGTCCTTAACAGTGAAGGTGAAGGGGTGGTGCCTGGTGCCTAGGAACTTGGCAACCTCAATAGCAGCCGCGGTATCGGGGGCACCGGGAAGACCAATGGAGAATGAGTGTAGCTGCTGGAAGGTGGTGACGGTCGACAGCTCGTTGTCGTCGTCAATGCCAACCAACTCACCGTCCGCATTCAGGCTCTGGGGCGCGGTGCGGGCAGCTTCGGCCATGCGGAGGGTCTCGCGCTGAGCGATAGACGCGACCAAGCTGGAGTCGAGACCACCAGACAGCAAAACACCGTAGGGCACCTCGGCCATCAGACGCTTGCGGACAGCCTTCTCGAGGCTGTGGCGGATCACCTTATAGTCAACCGGGGTCGAGGGGACGTTGGTGGGATCCCACCACTTGGGCTCGAAGTAGCGGGTGAGGGTGTCGGTCTTGGAATCATAGATGTGGCCGGGTGGGAAGGCAATGATGTCGTCACAGACGGGGTGCAGGCACTTGAGCTCAGAGGCAAAGTAGACAGCGCCGGGAGTCGACGAGGACCGGCCAAGGTAGAAGCTGGTGATACCAATGGGGTCACGAGCAGCAACAACACGGTCTTGCTTCTTGTCCCAGAGAACCCAAGAGAACATGCCATCAAGGTGCTTGGGGGCATCCAGGCCGTACTCCTCATACTAGTATATATCAGCATTTCGACTCTATATCTGATTCCGTTATAGGTGGCTGACGCACCAAGGGAATGATAACTTCGCAATCAGAGTGCGTCTTGAAGTTGTACTTGTGGTGAAGGTTCTTGCGAATGAGGCGGTGGTTGTAGATCTCACCGTTGACGGCGAGGGCGAGGGTGCTATCGTCGTTGACGAGGGGCTGGGCACCGGAGTCTAATAAGATATTGTTAATCAATCAATCTTCAAATTGTTGATCGTTCATAGTGACCACATACCAACACCGACGATGCTCAGACGCTCGTGCGCCAGGACTATGAATCGCGTTAGCATACCACGCCGACACCAAAGTTATTGCGTGTCAACCCACTAGTGCTCTCGGCGCAGAAGTTTCCACCTGTTAGAGAACTTTTGTTAACCCTATAATCCCCACATATACTGCGCAATGTTGCAACTCGGGCTGTGACTCACTCCAATCGGGACCGCGATGGCGCACACTATGATCCGGACACGAGTCAGTGATAATTCTATAGATTGCTCGAATTGCGAATTGCGAATTGCAGATTGCAGCAATTGAAAAAGCAATGGAGATACTCACGCCTTGGCCATGCGCAAAGCGGTAGGCTTGAACTTTTGCACATCGGGGTGACTATAGGACTCCTGTTAGTATTCCCCAAATTGAGATCCCACCAGACGCGGGGAGTTAGGGTAGGACATGACGCACTGGTGGCACGCGAAAATTCCACACATGATGAGCAATTGGGAAGTGTGGTTAAAGGTGAAGATCAATTCGGGAGTGAGAAGAAGGGTACGGAGTAGAATTGACTAATCGTCCGGTTATATGGGGAACCTTAGAACGGCGATTTTTTTTCAAATTTGCCCCGGTGCCCTCCCGGCGGGGCGAGGGGCGATGTCGGCAAGTCTTTGAGTCACCGATAAGATAACGTCCCTGGGACCATTGGCCCAGTTAGCTTCAACAGGTTAAGAGGTTTTTACTACTGTGGCTAGATATGTGGCTATATTAGCGGATTCCTTTGTCGGGTCATATTATTATTACTCTATCTCAATCTGACGATCCCTGGAGAGTGAGCCAATTCAATGTCACGTGACTGTTATATACCCCCACCATGAACTATAGCCCTAGCCAAGACCTTGACAAAGTGTATTTTCATCCATCGATGTCCGTTCAAGGAAACTAATAATAATAAATATCAAATTAGATGGGTAGCCAAGGATATCAAAATGCTACTCTGCTGATCACAACCTTATGAGCTTCATTCCACAAAGCATGTATGTCGATTGCTTCTAAGAGCACAATTGGAAATTGTTAAAACGAGTACAGTCCCATTTGGGAAAATCTTCTTTCTCGTATGCTTTCTCCGCCATCAGCATGGGATTTTTAAGATCTCTTTCATTATAAAGACAGCTGGGAAAATCAGTTCTAGGGGACAAAAAGGCGGAGTCACTAAAGGCGAGGTCGCACCCGTCTCGATATTGAGGCCATGAAGATCTATACGGGACCCACGAAAATTGTATCGGTGCTTGTGAGATTTTGATCATATAATAGGCTCATACTGCTATTCTGGCTCCTTTTTTTGGGTCTCAAAGCAGAATGGGATGTTATCATCTCGAGTTCTTTACATTCAGTGCTAAAATGGTGGAAGAGTTCAATGCTTTCAATCCTGGATTATCCCGAGGTCGAATGTAGTCTATAATGGTGCCTTGGACTAGCTCTGGCTGAATTGGTAGATATGATGCAGTGTTCGGTACACAATAGAAAGGTCTGCCGATTTGGTTTTTGGTTCATCAAGTAGTACATTACCGTCCTTTTAATTTAAGATGCAAGTTGAATTCAACTTGCCAAAACACCCACCATGCGCTCATCCCATCAGGGCAGAGAGGTATGGATGTTGTTTTGGCTGCCCGGGTGATTTACCTGTGCACAGAAGCAAATAAGTATGATATCGATTTCTTCTGCAAGAGTCATCCTGTACTCAATACATGGCAAGCCTAAGCATCTCGACAGGGAGCATGTATGTGGTATCATTGTTTCTGAATGACCCTAAGCCCAGAAAACGCCATCCATTGGGATATGTAGAAACGCCATGCTCGCGATAGAAAAGCAAAAGTTGCTCCCTTCGTTAAACAATAAATGCATAATCTTCCCTCAATCTCCCCGATATCCCATGCTGAAAGAAAAGAAAAAGAAAGTAAATGACCCATGCAGCGCCATCGCTGTTTACGCTTGGGTAACTCAAAGCCTGATTGGGCTGGTTTCCTAATTGGGCTGGTTTTCCTTGACAACCAGGCGAACTCTACGTTCATATTGAGGACGGTCCTTCTTGAAGAGGTTGTAGGCCTCAGCCTGCGCAGGTGACTCGGGGTTCGGGTCATCCAGGAGATCTTGGATGCCAAGCAAGAGCTGCTTAATGGTGATAGCAGGTCGCCAACCCTCCTCCTCATTCAGAATTGACAGGCAAACCGTTCCAGAAGGGTAGACATTAGGGTGGAAAAGTGCCGGTGTGAATTTGCCTGAATAGTTCTTGTGTTAGTATTTTGTTGTCACAAGAAATCACAGTGATAGTAACGAAGAGAAGCTCTCTTCCGGCGAGCTGGCACAAGAGTATATTGCAGAAAAGATACGTACACTTGGGGGGCTTGGTAGGATATTCTAGAAGCATGAAAGAATATAGATTAGCATAAGGATCTTCAGTAGTCATGAATGTTTGCGCCACACACCATCGGGAAAAATCAAGTCAATTTTGAAAAGTCCACCTTCCCAGAGAGTGTTAGCCTTCCCTGGAATAGCGCATTCCCAATTCTTCAGGTCCAGGCCACCCTGCGGGGCACGTTTCGGCTTTGCGACAAATCCAAATGGGTGGTCGCGACGCCATTGCTTTCTAGAATCCATGAAGGTCAGCGCAGGGCAAGGGCGTAGCGCAAATAATGCGCAGAATCGCGGAATCCGCTGGACAAGAAATATGCTTACCGCTCTTCTTGGAGACGGTTCTGGCACAACGACATCTTGGGTAGTGTTAAGCGGTCAGTAGTTGAAACGGCTTGACTCGCTGAGGTTGAAAGATGATCAAGCAGCAGAAGGATGCAACTTGGCTGCAAATAAGGTGCAGAGCACGATGAGTGGTTGAGTTATGGTTAATGAGAGAGGGAGAAAGAGGTGAGGTGATGAGTGGAAGATTTTAAAGTGACAATCGTCAAAGCCGGGGAGGTGATAGCAATTGACCTCCCCACGCGAACAATGAGTCTGCTTATGTAATACATACAGGCCTAGCCTTCCAGCCCAGGAACCTCCCAAGGAGCCTCACTTCTATTGTTAGGCATAAATAGCAATTACAACTGGTTCTGTGGGTGTTCTTTTTCGCTGTCTTCTATGTGACTATAGATTTCACTATTTTTGTCTGGTGGTCCCAATCTAATATCGTTTCTTTTACTTCTCTGAGGGCAGTACTACGTAACTATGTGGGGCTATATACTTGCACTTTTTAGCAACTTGACTGTTATAAACTGATGTTACCCATACGAGCCCCATGAACTAGAACAATGAAAGGGCGAGGATATTAACTTGCAGCTCCTGTTCTGTATCATGAGCCGCATAGAAAAAAATCGAGGGCATAAGGGTGCCTAGGCCTTGGGAAGTGCTTCAGTACTACGAGGATTTTGGTGCTGTTATACGGTGCCACAGTTATGTCTCCTCTTGGTATATGGGCGTAGATTCTCGAGTACTTCATAAACTTTATTATTTAATACATATAGGTTATTGCGTACGTAGAGAAATGAGAGATAATGAAAAGACGGGCGACCTAGCTCTTACTTATACCACCCGCCTTGCGAACATCCATCCACTTCCTTATAGGCTCCCATTTGCGGCATGTGTGAACCTGTCCAACTCCAAGTCCAATTGGATCATTATTATAATGATACGCAGGGACCGGCGATAGGTCTCCATGACATTGGATAGCTTGCCGCAGCTGATCTAGACAATGATCACGGTGGATTCGATCCCAATTATCCGGAAAATTCGTGGAGTTTTTGATAGCTTCCTCTAACTCGCCGTGGTGGTGGGGATGTTTTGAATAATAGTCCATATCGAGTTCCATTCGGATTGCGTTAAGGCAGTGGAGGGAGTGGAACATGTCAGGTCTAATAGAGAGGAATATTAGATTGGAGACACGGGGAATATAGCTGTTTCCTAGAGAGCTCACTCAAAGTGGTAATAATCCGAATGGGGGGGCTTGTTAAGCTCTGGTGTGTATGGTGCTGCTTCTTCGTCGGTCATTATTACGAACTCGCCTATAAAATTCCGCCATTGTGTAAGTTGGACTGGCTATCTTGCGGCCCAATAGGCCCCGAAGTATTCAAGAAGGGGCGTACCTCGCATTAAATCAGCCCAGGCATCATCAATCTCGGGAGATGGAAGTCCGAAATATTGAGGCGTAGATAGGTCAATGTCTCGGTAGACCTTGCCTATCTCCGCGTTAAATGCAAGCTTCCCAGAGAACACACGTTCCTCATAAGAGATATAGGGATGTGCATCGCGGAGATCGGTTCGGAAGGCTGATAGTGACGTAGCTAGACATGCGGAGGAATTGTATTGTTGAAATAGTAGGTAGCCTGTAATCAGGGCTAGAGAGAAGGTGGAAGCTATCCACGGAGCAACGAGACAAAGATGGGACTTCTGGCAAATTCTCGGCACAATAAAACTAGACCTGTTGGAGGACTCTGATTCTGTGTCTTCACTGTGAATCGGTCGATAGAGCTGTTCTTTGGAGGAATCGATTACTGCCATAGTGTGGCGCCTTTTCACAAATTGCGAAAGAGTTTGTTGTAGTATTTGATTATTGAGACACACAATTTCTTAGAGGGTAAAGTGTAAAAGGCTTGCTTATTCCTCTGACCATGGGAAGTCAAATTGGATGAGCAAGGGAACCAGTAGCCCGCCTTCACTCGCCAATATGCCGTGGAGTGTGCATAATAGCCCTTGCATGAGGTGACTTTCTCTCGGCTGATCTCGGTCGGCGTGATGCATATTATTGGAGGTAGTTGGTGTTGAAGAATCGACCAATAATCGACGATATATAATACATATGTAGCATGGTCTACATTCCCACCCCCCACTGACAGCTCTCAATTGTGAACATTCCTCATGATCCTGACGGTTCCCGATCGATATCAGCCTCAGATTGGGCCTTTTTGTATACATCTGTACAATAATTGACGTCTTAAGGTCAATCTAGGGGTGATATTCAGCGTCAAAGATTATCCTAATCTGCACTTCGTCGAATCAAATGCTGAAAAATACATTCTCGAAGTCGTCAGCCAAGGATTGTAGGCGCCCTTAATCACTATCATTCACACTTCGCCAAACAACCTGTTCTGTACATATGATGTGGTGTTGTAGCGCTCCAGGGCTACAGGTAAGGGGGTCAGTTACATGATGTAATCTAGGGAGCAAGTTCAACCCAACTAGCTTATGCACAATATCTTCCAGCAATTCTATAGTGGCCTCGGAGTATATAGTTCCCTACGGATGCCCTTATATCATTAAACCTAGATTATCACTCTACTCAATCAATCTCTAGGATCAGCCCAACAAAACATAGAGACAATCAATCTCATAAGGTAAGGACATGTTCAGCTTTCCTATATTTAGTGATACCTACTAATTAGAACCCCTTTTACAGCTTGCTTACGCCAATATGAAGCTCTCCTTGGTTGCTCTCGCAATTTCTGCCACCTTGACTGTCGCTGCACCTACAATGAACACGCGTCATGTGTCTAATGAAGGACACGCGGAAAGTGAAACTGCTAAGCGTGGTGCGGGCTTGTTCCAGGGCACCTTCTGCGAAGACGACATCGAAAAGTGCGGTACACCCCTATTCATGGCCAACGACCGTGAAGCGGACATGGAAAAGCGTGGTGATGCCTTGTTCAATGGGAACTTCCGCGAAGCCGACATCGAAAAGCGTGCTACCCATCTATTCATGGAAAACGCCCGTGAAGCGGACATGGAAAAGCGAGGTACGGCCGTATTCATGGCCAGCGACCGCAAAGCCGACATCTAGAAGCGCGGTGAAGCTGCCCGATTAGGAGGAAGAAACGAGGAGCGCAGCACGCACGCGATATAGGTCCAGCCCTGCCAAAAATGTGCGATAAAGCTACCCGGTTCAAGGGGAAAGGACAAGCTTGCTTGACATGTAAGCAAAGAGGAGGGGAGGAACAAGCAGGAGGATGATTAGCTGGTATAATGTTTCACAAATTGCAGACTGAATTGCAATATCCAGCAGGCCTAGGGAGAGGAGATGAGGTGCCTCAATACAATGCAACTAGAAACTAGAAGTGAAGCTCTACTACCCGTGGACGAATACAAATTGTTTCTTGCTAAGCAGCTTTTTCAACCTAAATCTTTACCTAAATTTTTACCCTGGGTAGCAGGTAAATTGTAGGTGGAAAATAGGACTCTATGAAATGTATAGTGGCTAAGCCTCGTTTGGGGGAGTATGGATCTCGACTATAGCGATGTTTATGACTTCTTATATCTACATTTATGTTCTATAATCGAAATACAATCAGTCAAATGTATAGCTATTTGGTTGATGATATCCAGCGGAATATTCATATAGAGCAACAAGCTATGGACTTCAGGTCAATACCTAATACAAGTCCCGGCTGTTCCATTTCCCATGCGTGAGTTTCCTTTCAAAAGTCACTACACTACACATGTAGGCAAAAACATTTCAACTTATGACCTTCGCCTACAAAGTTATGGACAAAGGCATTCGTATATTTCCCAAGGTAACAAAGAGCCGCCTTCCATCAAGGACAATAGCTATCACAAATGATTGAGACGAAGGAATGCAGCGAGAAACTGTTTCTTTATTCGTACCCCGGATTAATCTTCGACAAAGGCTCTTTCCAACAACAAAAGTTTGTCGGCAGATGCCAACACACTCTGAGTTTTGTCTGAGGCGTATAAAGGAAGATCTGCCCGTTTCATCTGTCATACTCCTCCCATCCACACTCAACAACCCTCAGCCAAACTCCTATCAGCCATAGTTACAAACAACATCCCAAAGCTACATACTATCATCTATCATCATGTGTCATTCAATTATCTGGTACTACGCTCTGTGCCAGCACCAAGACCAGGATGCAACCTACCTAATCGCGTGCCACAGAGCCTACCTAACGGGCTACGAGTGCACCGAAGAGCAAAGCGCATGGCATTTCTCACTTATAGGGAATTGTCTGCAATGCAAGCTTGATCAGCTGATGCTACGCCACTCTATCTTCCGCGAATGGCGGAGAGAAGATTTTTTGGCTGCACTAAACGATGCATTCCAATATAGTGACGAAGACGACTGGACTATCGATGACAGTGATGCTGAGGAATTAGACATGGAAACGTTGTTCTCCCAGTCTCCCAGCTTGACTAGTAGGACGTTCACTGACCGAGCTGAGAACCGGGGGACCCGTGCATCGTTCCATAGGGGTCCGGCACACATGCCGACCCTAGTGCAACAGTCATCGCCTCACTTGTCTTGTGTCGCTTTGGTTGAATATTCTAATGATTACGCAGATGATGAAGAAGAGCCTTTGCAAAAACCTCAGACCCAGACGAGCCGGAGCTGGCGCTCTTGGATTCCTCTTCCTACTAGGTTGGTACGCAACCAGCAGACCCCTGCATATTTGGCGTTTATCACTGATGATAATATGTCGGGCGCAGAGCTTTTGCTCGGCACTTCTAAGCCAAAGAAACATCATCGGAATCGGACTTGGCGTTCCTGGATTCCCCTTCCTGTTAAGAAGGTGTCGGGGCAATAGATTGACTGATTAGAGTGGTGGGATGGAAGTCTTTGATCGGGATTTTTGAGGTTTCATAGGGTTTGGATGGTTTACTGTTGGGATATTCCATAGCCTGCGTTTTGTTTTACTTTAAGATGTAGTCTTGGAGAACATTGTAATGAGACTTCACCATCAAACGAATTCGAACATTATCATTAACATAGCTAAGTGCAGAAAGGGTATGAACATAAGGCCATGTAAGCCTCCGGTCAAACGACTCAGTCGAAACAAACTGTGCTATGATTTGTTGCCATTGAGTACCTGGCCTTCGAGCACATTCACAGCCTATTGTAGGTGCAATAGTCGAGAAATCATTGACATGTCATAGCGTGCATAAAAGGGCACGAACATGGGCAATTAGACCGTGTAAATCCCCTGTTCGAACTTCTCGAGATCAAAAAATCGTGCGGTGATTGTGTTACCATTGAAAATCCGGCCTTCGAGCGCGTTCACGGCCTATCATATATGCAATAGTCAGCAATGCACAAACTCACATTTGAATCAAGATTTAGATCCCAAAAGCTTACCCGTAGACCAGACAAGGGATCTTCAAATTTGAGAAAGACCGGGACTGGGGTTCCGACGTCACGAGCGATGAAGACTCGCTCCACAGGTCCATACTATGAGCCGCTCAAGTTAGTAAAAGCCCCTAATCCCATCGGCGAAAGAAACCATACCATCTTATTACACTCCTTTCCAATCTCCTGCACCACACCACCATCCCGACTTCCCTCTATCTCCGCATCCAGGTCCATACCATCCAACATGCCCCGTAGGATGACCACTTGGCTCATAGGACCAAACTTGCTGGTGTCATATTCACCCTTCTTGTTACTTCCAATGATCTTACCTCGCCCGGCAGGTGTGACAAAGCCACCACCCTCTGAGTCTGGTCGCTTCTTTCGCTTCTCAAGCTTGACTTGCAGCGGGTTCACCATACCAGAACCAGTAGCGCCGAGGCCGGATCCCTTGGTCCAGCCATACTTGGAAAGCAGTCGTTCTGCGAAGCCTTGTTGGCCGGGACGAAGAGATCGTGGCGCGGCCTCATCTGGTTCTTCCTCATCCGCCGGTTGCTCTTGGGCCATTACGGCTTCAAGTTCGGCTTCTGAGGCTGGGATGTCTTCTGGGGGTGGCGGGAGAGTGTATCGGACTGGTGGACGGGAGATGGTTGCAGAGCTGGGTTGGAAGGCGTCAAGAGGGCGTGATGGTGGAGGAGGTGGTATGACTTGTCCGGATGGTGGGTTATCGGCTCTCTGGAAGCGCCGCATGTATGCGTCTTCGCCGGTGGGGTCATCGGGAATTGGGGTAGGACCTTCAGTTTGGGGTGGGGGTAAGGTCGGGAGCTGGGCCTGAACGGCGATGGGATCATTGTCGACGCGTTGCGCTAATGCTGCACGGTGAGCAAATGCATCGTCACTGGATGGGTCATTGGGAACAGAAGCTGGTGGTGGAACATCGTTAAGATTTGGCGGCGGCGCAAAGTTGCTTGGAGGCGCAAATTGTCCTGGTGATTTTTTTTAGTCTGGAGGTCGTCACTAATCGCAAAAGACCCGAACATACGCTTTTTCGGCCGGTCATAATCCTCGCTATCGGAATATCTGCTCGGCGAGCGCTTTCTGACATGCGCATACAAGCTATCCTTCCACTCGCGGACTTCACCAATTTTCTCATCACTATGGCCATATTCCGCGCAATTGGTAGGCCGAGAAGAGTCATAGATATCTTCCCAGTTTTGGACAACATGTGTATCAAAGTTCTTCTTGCGCTTCTTTCTTCCACCGCGCTGTCGCTTCTCGCGCGCGTACTCATAATCATCATCTTCAATAGCAGTCCAATCAGCCAAAGTGCTCTTTGTCGGAACCGAAGCTTGGGTAGCTGAGGGTGGTTGTGGCGCTGCCTTGGTATGTTTCGGTTTGGGTTTCTGGGCTGAGAGCTGTGGCCGTTTGGGAGGTTGGAACCGAAGAGAAGCTACGAAGAAAGGGAGAAGGTTAGAATGTGCTGCTCAGAGTATCCAGCAAGTGAATGGTAAATACCAGGATTCAGTTGTTGCTTTTTGGCGGCCGCGTCGTCGGGTTGAGGTTCGGTCTCCGGCTGCTTAAAGACAACCGGAGCACGGGAAATTGTGCCAGGCGTATCAGTAGACGGATTAAGTAGATTGGCATACAGGGACATGCCCCGTCTCGGCGGGGTGGGATCAGAAGCCATGAGTGTTATGGTAAGAGAGGTGTGTCGACGGCCTGAGAACGTCGGCATCGATTAAACACGATAAGGCCGCCTCTATCTCCGCGCTCTCCGCCTAACTCTCCGCCTCCCCACCCATCAGTTTAATCATCACATCACCTATGGTAATACCGTCGCCTATACCATCCTTACTTATTCCTTGTCTAGTTTGTTTTTTGCTTGAATTTTCTCAACTTTGCTCAAGTGTTTCCATTGCCAACTAGTTACGTCTTTATTTAAACAAGTTCGGCTAGCAGAGGAGAGCCTGAGGATAGCTCAAGCCTAAATCAAAACCAGACACGACGGACGCGATGACCCAAAAAGGTTCAAATCCCAAAGCATTAGGCAAGCCAAAAGGAGTATGTACAAATGCATTACAAAGACAATCTAAACACTATCAGGCTACTCAATTTTCTACCCAAACTCTCCAATGTTTGCTCTGTTTTACATATCAAATGCATCCTCTAATACTGATCTTGATCTAGTCTCTCAATGCTCCTATTGCAGCTTTTACAATGGCTGTCATCCTTTGTTCATACTGTTTTAGCTCTATCCGCACTGCGCGGCGAGATGCCCAGATCCAAGCTCCGGGGCCCGGTTCTTATCAGCGAGCTACGCCATTAGAGAGAAAAGATGAGTCCTGGGTTCAACAAGCACTTGATGAGAGTCGAGCACAGAATGGTGGGAAGGGACGACCTTGAGGTGTATCTACAGACATATATATGTTGAAAGGTGTCTTGTGTACATGTATAATATAGATTGAATCCACTACAACAGTGTTTGATGATAGTTCGTGATACCAGGATGTATGATTCCTTGTTCAATGAGGCTCTTTGTTGCTATATAGAAGGTGAAAAGAAAGCAGACAAACTGTGAAGTAACATCTGCGTCTTCATATTCAATCAGAATTTTCAGTGTATGAATGATCATGCCCCGGGAGTCTAAGTGTATTGACAACCCAGTTCAATCTTGAAATTGTTCATCATGCGAATAGTGAAGGAATGTGTGATGTGGCTAAAGGAATTGCAAGGTGTGAGGGTAAACATGGGATGATATGAGACTATAGAGGCACATCCATAGATATAACTGCCTTTCAATGGATCAAATGGCCCTTAAAGCCAATGGAATGATCGGTTTGATGCAAGTCAGGTTAGTAAGTGAACCTGATTAAGATCGACGTCTGTTTGATCTAGGATTGAATATATGGCCGCTGTATGATTGATCCTCAAAGTGCCGGCATTAAACACCTGAGAAACAAGTACAGATTGATGGTTGTCTGAAGAAAAAAGTTGTGAAAGGAGAAGTGGGAAGGGAAAAGAATGAAAAAAATAATTACGGCAAATTTAAATAGTGTGTCACGTGGTTGCCCCATATGTTTACACAACCACTCACTTTGAGCCTGGGATGCATTTTATACAACACAAGAATAGTCGGCCGCTTATGCGGCCTTGTCAATCTGTCTTTTAGTAGTCTTTTAGTAGTCTTTTATGGTAGTCTTTTATGGTAGTCTTTTATGGTAGTCTTTTCAGATGTCTTTTTAAATGTCCTTTTTAGTGGCATTCTCAGATTCTTCTCAGTTAGTCTTTTTGGATGTCTAGATATTTTCTCTCCATTCTCGGTTTGTTAAGGAGGGAGCAGAAAAAAGCGAGAAGAGGCTTAATTCGTAAAACGGACTTTTCTATGTATAACCTTTGATATATCGGGATCAAGTTGGAAACTGGACTTTAAAAGGCCACCACTTTAACTCTAGTACAAAATCTGTGCATCCCGTTCGAACTATCATATTGATCGTGTCATCCTGCATAGCTATAATTATGGCCTCTATACGAACGTTGCTTCGACTAGATTTGAAGCAAGATAAATGAACTCATCTTGACTTCCACATGAGGCTGGAGCACTGTAGCCTTTATTCCTAATTCCAATGCCTGAAGTTTCCCGTTGTTCCATTCTCTCAACCTCTTCTCAAGAGCAGAGCTTTGTCTTTCTCATTTGTCTCTCCTCAACTCTCTCTTTCAATCTGTTTCTCTCTTGACTTTCCAAGATGTCATCAGTCAAAAGCCCTTCCATGTTTTCCCAGGCGCTGGGAGGTCTTTTTATGGAGGATCGTTTCTCAGATGTGACCATTGTCTGCCAGAACGTGACTTTCAAAGCCCACCGTGCCATTATCTGCACACAGTGTCCTTTCTTCGATGCTGCCCTTAAGCATGACTTTCAGGTAAGACGCTCAGTGCCCAATAGTTTCAGTTGCTTACATACTCTTTCAAGGAATCCATCAGCGGGACCATCAATCTACCTGACGATGACCCGGAGACCATCAGACGAGTCCTCTGCTTTCTGTACCAGCAGACTTACAATGACAATGACCAAGATGCGGAGCCAACGAACAACAGGCCAGGCAATTCTATGATCATATTGGGCGATGTTGGTAACAGAAAGGCCATTGCTTACAACAACCTCTCTGTCTACCTTGCGGCAGATAAATTTGGCATCTTGCCTCTCATGCAACTTGCTTCACGCAAGCTTTCTGCGTGGATCAGAGACAACTACATGGCATCCTCGTTTCCCGAAATTGCTCTCCAAATTATGAGGTCAAATCTCCCTCATGATCCCAGCCTTATCAATGTTCTTGTGGAAATCATTTCCAACAACCTCGATGAGCTTGGCTGCAACATGGAGATCCTGCAGCTTCTCCGGCATTACGGTCAACTTGCATGTCTCATTATTGAGAGAATAGTGGAAAAGGAGATGATTGCCTATCGACGCGCCCATTGCCATGGGTGCCAACAACATTTTAATGTGACCAAGGAGGTGAGCCTGCGTGGTTTCCGTTGTGGCAATTGTCGGGCTCAGGATGAAAGTTGAAATCAAAATCTGCCATTCTCAAGAGCATTTTCGCTGCTTTCGGATCATCACAAAAGTTGAAATCACCACAATTTCGAATACAACACTAGCACAAAGGAGGTGGAACGCAAAGAGATACGGTGGTCTGGAGGACTGTTGATATTTATACCAGAGGCTTCGCAATGGTCGAGATGAATTCTCACCCGTCATTTCCTAGTGGATAGTTTCAATTGAAATATACCCTTCGTCTTTCAAAGTCAGATATGAAAGCCATTGCTTTATATTTGAGGATGTGTATTCACAAGAATGGGCGAGCATGTAGAACAGGTGATGTATATACAGAAAAGACATGCAGAAGCCAGGAAAATGGTAGACAAGTTTAGATAGCAACAAGAAAGAAACAAGGCATGCTTTAAGGGACAATAATCTTTCAGCTAAGATGCAGCGAGCATGTGAAGACATGTGAAAGCTGTGTCACATGTCAGAGTCTTCAAGTCTGGAGACACTGTCATCTATGCCGAGACCATCGTATGCTTTCAGAATTCAGTGGCCAAAATTTACTCGCTAAAAGATTGATCTGCAAATATCGAGCAACGGACCGCCCCGTCCATGTCTATACAGGCTATGACAAAAGGAAAAAGAAGGACTTGGCGATCAGAAACAGTGGGGTGTTGTGCGGTGTGCGATGTTATAGAAGCGGATATGAAGGGAAGAGGTTAGAGATTGAAAACAGTCTCTTGTGTGTTGATATATCTGGGTATCAAATAGATCCCCGAGCTTCTTCTTCCATTTGGATCCTTAACGCACCCTCATGCTGCAAGGTATTGATCTGCTTCCGCATGTATTCGTAGGTGAGCATAGTGGTCATGGCAGCCGGAACGGCCCGGAACAGATTGACGCCGATCCCGGAGTAAAACGCACGCCATCCCTCTTCCTTGAGGATTGTCTGGAATGTGCGCACCATGCCATTATAGCGCGGGCGGCTACGCATTCCATCTGACGATGATATGCCACCCGACCGGCCGCGATCATGTGGATGTTTCAATCCGCCGCGGAACGCAATCTCTTCGTGAGACTGTGCCGGAAAATTCCGTTGCTGTGTTTGGAGTCGGGTCCGCAAGACCTCGTGCGGGTATGTGACTGTGCTTGCACAGATCTTGCTGAGGAAAGTGGCGACGGATATTCCCACCCAGTGTGAGCTACCGGTATCGGGGTGTTCACCGATACCATAGCCTGTCAACGCCATCTTTAGATATTCGTAGAGGGGGAATTGAATGGCCACGTGGGTCAGTCCCAGCAGAGCCGGGGTGAGGCCAGAGTAGAAGGAGCGAATGCCCTCGATTTGATACATCTTGCGAGCAGCATCCCATGTGCCTGAGTATTGCCAAGGGGCTCGCACTCCTTCGTTGTTTTGTTTAAGGCTTTGTGACATGAGCCGAGTCTTAATGACCCAAATGGGGTTCGTCACAACCGTTGAACATGCACCGGCTGTGATTGAAGCATAGCCGCGGGATAACCACCAGCTTCCTGTAATTTGGTCAGTATTGATAAGTGACCGAATCCTCCATTCTGGAGGTACCTACCTGTCTGGTCATAGAAATATTCACGAGTCCGGTCATAGACTGCTAGATAGACAGCCCAGGTGGGGAGATATCCCAGCACCATTGGACCTAGTCCCTGGTACAGACCACGAACGCCATCTTCCCGCCAAATCTTCTTTCCGCTTCCGAGCATGCCACGATATAGCACCCCCGAGGCAACTTCCTGTGCTCCCCGCCGAAACCCGCCCTGGGCTTGGAGCTTCGTTTTGATGACATCGAGAGGACATGTGACAATACCAGAGGCCACGCCAGCGCTGGCTCCGCAGAAAGGTGCTATGTAAAAGTTAGGTATCTTGGTGGAGAAGACCTCGAGGCGGGCTTTGAAATCAGAGCTCGGTGCGGCGGGCACGTTGTGAGCATTGTCGACATGAATTGACTGAGTTTGGTTTTGGGAGCTGCTCGGAGCGCTTCGGCCGTTTGTAGTCATCTTGGTGGCCGGCGCTCACGCAGCTTGTCGAACCGTACTGAATCAACGAGGGCTCCCGGACACGAGCATATCGGGTGCTCGATCCGGAACCCAAGAACCGTATTTCAAACCGAGCTGGGAAAGAAATGTAGATTTATCCGGATATCCAAAGTCCAAAGTCCGTAAATGGTGCAAGGAAGAAGGTGCGAGCAATGACGGAGGATTGAGAGAGAGTTTTTTGGTGCCGGTTGCCGAACCCGGTGTGGTTGGTTTGAATGTGCAATGTTTTATTATCTTGCAGCACGGACGTGGGCGGGGTTCTTAGAACAATCAAGCTTCTTGACGTAAGCAAAAATCAGTAGTTGCTTTGAGACTTGACAAATCCCATCTCTGTCAAAGCAAGCGATAAGATCGAAAAGGGGATATGACATAGGAAACCCATCCGTTAGGTGGACTGCACCGATTGACCTTTCCAGTTTCTTCGCCGCCTGAGGCACATAAAGATCACGTGTTTGTGGCCTCAGGCGTAGAGTTGCCGTTTCAGGACTAGCCGCCCGAGCTCCGTTTTGCACAACCTCGCAACATCGGGTCATCTCGTGTTCCAGTCGGATAGCCTTTCCAACCCTTCACCACACCCACGTCAATTGGGATACCCGGGATTCAAAATGTCTGCCCCTTCGCTCGCCAGTTACATCGTCAAGCGCCCATGGCTCAAGAGCTGGCTCACCCCTCTCTCCCACTGGTACACCGATGCCGCCGGCTACAGGAGACTCGGACTCAAGTAATTCTTGCCCTCCCACATCGACAACTCCCCGACCACGAGCGATTGAAACAAGCATTGGGAATTGGCTGGTTGAATTCGTCGCGCACCGGTAGCATATCTTTTGAATGCGATCGCAGTTGTGTCGAATTTGCCCGGAGGCCCGGTCTTTCGAATATCGTTCGCGGCAGGGTTAGACCGAAACACTTGCTAACCGCCCAACTAGGTTCGATGACCTGATCCCCGAGGAGAGCGAGAACGTCCAGAAGGCCATCAAGCGTCTTCCCGCCAAGGAGGCCTACGACCGTGTCTTCCGTATCCGCCGTGCTTTCCAGGTTCGACTGACCCCCTTCCTCTGTATCCGACTGGCGCAAAACCTAACAAATGTGTCAATTGCAGTGCTCCATCTCCCACACTCTCCTTCCCGCCAACGAGCAGATCAAGCCCGAGGAGGTGAGTCCCCAACATCCAAATTTCGCCCTCCCCGCATTAGTCTCCATATCGGCCAATCCTATTGCACGGATTTGTCACATCCACCACGACTCCATGTTGGGGCATATACTCACCACAGTGGACACAATGCTAACGATACCAATCAAATAGGACGTCGAGTACCTCAGCCCCATCATCCGCGAGATCGAGAAGGAGGTTAAGGAGCGTGCTGACCTTGACAACCTTGTTGTCCGCAAGTAAGCCGTTGCTGCTTGGTTCTATAGAATATGATAACAGGGGGGTTGGGGTAGCATTGTTGTTGGCATGGAATAAACGCCTGGTGTGCTTTCTTCGTAATAGAATGGGCGCCGTCGTCAGCGGCCCATAGCTTGGTTACGCAGCCTGAGTGTACTGATACTGTACAAATCGATTTTCTTCGCGCGCTTATATCTTTGGTCAATCTTGTGATTGGTCTTGGTGTATTGATAACCTTTCGTAATGACTGGGGCGGTTCGAGGTAGCCTATGCGGGTTGTGGTAGCTGATCGGTTTGGGCGTCAGGCGCCCAACAACCTCTGCCTGCACATGTCTAAGATCTTCAACTAGTTACATATTCCCCTTTTCTCATGCCCACAAAATCAAAGCCACAATTCACTCTCAATTATTGGCTATATGCACTATGGCCACATCTATACTACAATATCATCTCAAATGCTCGACGTCCAGTAAATCACACGGTATCAAGGCAGCCTGATTCATGGAGATAGTACTTCTACGTCCTTCAACCACCAAGAACAGCCACATCAACATCCTCAATCCGCCACATATACCACATAAACAGACTCCTAGAGCAACTAAGTAAGCACATTTGTCTACCGGTGGACACCATGAACAGGGTCAGACGTACCTATATGGTGCAAACTTGGCAGCAAGTTCCAGCATATCCTTTTCAGCCATATATTTGAATTTACCACCACCCTTGCCCTTGAGTTTGCTCACATCACGGCCCACAAAGGCAGCACAACCTCGTCTACAAAGGTGTCAATAACCGCTTCCGCTGAGCCACAACACAAACATCTCCCAGCCATAAGACCAAGAATTTGCATGGAAGGAAAACAAGGAACAAACTTACTGTACTCCCAAATCCCCAGTAGAAAACACATCAATCCGCTTGAGCGCAAATATAGCAAACATCTCAACTGACCACTTCCCCAATCCACGAACAGCAATCAGCTTCTCAAAAAGCTCCTCATCAGTAGCCCGGACCAACATCCTTGCCCCAAGCTCTCCACTAGCAAACTTTTCCGCAAGACCCTGGATATATTCCGCCTTGCGCTGCGACAGCCCCGCCGTACGCAGGGTAAGGATATCACACTTGGCGACCTGATCCGGGGTCGGGAACTTTGTATGTCTATGCCCATCAGGCGCAACAGTATCGGGTAGATCAAACAGCGTCAGAAACTTGTTTCGGATAGACTTTGCTGCCGCGCCAGAGACTTGCTGGCCGATGATGCTGCTGACCAGGCTGTTGAAGGGGTCGATTTCCTCTGCTAAGCCGGCAGGCGAGAAAAGCGCACATGGATGCTGCTCGATCACTGTTGCGATGCGTGGGTCTGTCGCTATGAGGTGCGCGGTGGCTTTCTCGAGTAGTGTCCCTGTTGTGGCCGTTGGCCGTGGAAGGCCGGTCTTTGAGGGCGAGGCATCTTCTACGCGCGCTGGGTAGGCGTTTACTGTTGAGCCGTGAGGGGTTATGAGGATTGCGTTTGTTCGGTGCGGGTCGACGGGGCGGTCGAGGGGAGGGGGCGTCTGAGGTCTGAATACCG